ATTAAACTTTATAAGTCTCAATCTCTTACTATAATCTTAATGTTGCTTCATTCATATTTACTATCTAACCAATGTATTTTATTTATACTTATTTATACTTGATTAAATAACCTTAATTTTGAGGATCATTTTCATAAACTTGTAAGTTTTAACTTGATTATTCATAATATTTCATTTGTTCTTGTAATTATTTTATTCTTTGCTCTGATTCTTTTAAAATAAAATTGTTTTCTTATTAAGTGACTTAAAGAATTTATTCCAGAATAAGAACCTAAATTACATTTCATATTACCTTTGATACAGCTTTATTCCTTTCATTCAATAATTTTGTTATTTATTATTTTAAAAGTTCCTACTCTGATCTTGTTACACTCAATAACATTTTCATATCAGTTCGACCATTTACTAAACTTTAATACTACATATTTATGCTTATTTATTCCTACAACCTTTAGTTTATATTTTAAATCTCTAAATTTAAGTAATCTATTTTCAATTTAGAAGAATCACATTGATCCATTTTATGATATTTTATTTAATAACATATTCACCCAGATACAAATTTTATTTACTAAATCATATTATAAACATTTTTAACTATTTAAAAATAGATACAATCATAAGAATTAACAATCTAATTTATATTTAACAAATATTTTATTCATATTCTAAATCAATTTTGCTGGAATCTCTACAACTACATACAAATCAAATCAAAAATAAATTATTAATTAAATTAGCTAACAAATTATTCAATATACTTAAATAAATTCTTATTTTTTGATAACACATCTTAAATTATCTATCTCTTTTATTTACAAATTATAGAAATATGAAAAATTATTTTTTACTTTATATTCTAAATAATTTCATAATTAATTATTTTATCAAAATAGGTAAGATTCTAATAATCAAAATTTTTTGGTTAATCTTAAAAATGTATCAAAATTTATTATATTTCAATCGTTTTCATAAGCCATTTAATGGTTCAACATTCAATAAGAAAATATTAATTTAATTTTCTAATATGATATTATTTTATTCAATTTACCTGTTGAGTATAGAAACTAATTTCAGTTAATTTAAATATCATAAATTTCCAATACAGATTCGATCGCTTTATTCACGATTCATTCTCAATATAACTAACTGAATTTGAAAATAATTATCTTAAAATATTTTGAATTCTGTGGCTGAATTTGAATTTGTAATTAATTAAACCTGTAGAGTAAATTTAAAAGTAATTCTTTAAAAAAATAATTAAAGGGTATTCAATCTTTTTAATTGAAATTGGAAAAATGAAATATTAAAAGCTCTTTATACTAATTATGAATATATATAAAGTAAAATTAATGGATATAGTTAAATTTGCTATTATGAAAGAGATCTAAAAGTGATTAAATCTGATAAAATGAGGTATGGAAACCAGTTTATAAATTAGTTTTCTTTAAATTTAACGTTTAAAATTTTTCAAGAAAGTTTAAACTTAATAAAAATATTAAAAATTGAGTAATTGAATTTAAAAAAATTGTAATTTATCCAAAATTAGAAATTATTTTATCGAATATTATTTATTTATGAGTTCTGATAACTTAAGATAATGAAAACTTCATAAATATAAATGTAAACCTAGTAGAAACAAAGTTATCATAAAATTCGATTTTAATTGATTTGAGAGAGTAATGTAATAAGAATAATACTATATGAAAGGTAAACAATAGTTTTAAGGAAATAAAGATAACATAAGAAGTATTTACTGATTAGATTATTAGATTATTTAGTATTACTAATGATTGTTTAACAAAAGCAATAATGAAACAGTAATAATTTGGACAGTATAATAATAACAGGAAATGTAAATAATTCAATCATAGTCTTTGATGATCAAATAATATTAGAGGAATTCTAAATCAGACTTTATGAATGTTAAATCAATTTCCTTAAGATTTTTTAAAACAAACTTATTGATACAAACAGAGAGCTTCATCCTAGCAATAATCTATTTTGTGGACTCTATTCGTTTTTTTAAATTATAGAAAATCAGAAATTTGATTCATTTATCCACTTCTATCTATAATCTTTCATTTTAACTAGAAAATGCTTCTTATAGAATTCTAAATAAATTATTAAAACAGATTTCTAGGAAACATTTTTCATTTAGATAGGAGTGATTAAAATATGAATACAATATGTTTAATAAGATAATAAATATATATAATTAAAAATGTCGTAACTTCTAATGGTGTGGTTAAATGATGAAGTTTAATTGAGTAGAAAGGTAACATCATTTGAAAAAGATTTTAATAATGGATATCTATTTGGTGAGTTACTAAGCAAGTTCAATTAACAACTTAATTTTGAAGAATTCTCTAATAAGTATTTCATTTTCTTATAAATTAGAGATGTTAGAGAATCCAAAATGAAGAATTTCACTTTACTTGAACCAACATTTAAAACTTTGCATATTCCATTCAATTTTTAAATTGCTGATCAAGTTATTAAAGGAAAAAAGGGTGTTGCTATGTAATTGCTTTATCAATTACAAATGGTATATAGTTTAATTATAATCTTAGTAATTGCAAAAAGTAAATGATCCTCATGATGTTATGATGCATGCTAAAACTGGTAAATATAATGTTATATAACCACTAATGGTTATCAGATAACCAAAAGAATAATTTGATAAAATGGAATAAGAGTTTTTTGTATCTAAGCTTAATGAGAAAAATAAAGCATAGAAGGATGTGAACTTAGAGAAACATCTTGGAAAATTTACATCATTTGCAATTTAATAAGCAGAAAAAGAAAGAAGATTGAAAATAAAAGAAGAAACTGAAGAAAGAAATTTAAAAGAGGAAATGCGTAAAATATAATTGAATAAGTTATAAAGAAATATGGCATTTATGGAAGATTGGAATTAAAAAGGAATAGAAAATTGGAAAAAGAATTAATAAATTCGACATAAAAATAAAGTAGCAGATGAAAAATTCAAATCTACAATGCAAAAAATAACAGAGGATAGATTGATTTAAACATAATAGGTAATGAGAAGTGAAATGGAAGATTAAATTGAATAATTTGAAAATAAAACAACTTAAGAACCAGTATCTTTAGGTTTAAGAAATAAAATGATGAGTGAATTTTTAAGAAAAGAAAGAGATAAAAGAAGAAGAAAAATGATAGTTGATTAAGAAAAATAGACAGATGAATTATAAAGAAGAGAATTTACAGTTTTAGAGAAATTAAAATAATAAAGTAAATAAGAGAAAGAAATAATGTATGAAATATGGAGAGCTTATTAATGCAAAGAAGTTATATTTGAAAATAGATAATTAAGAGATGAAAATTATAGAAATAAATAAGAATTAAATGTAATTAATTAGAAATTTAAAGAAGAAGAAATGTTAAGAGCTTTATAATCTGAATTTAATTAAGAAATTGAATTATAATAGAAAAGATAATTAGAAATTAATGTTGAGTATAAATTATAAATTAGATAATCAAATTATGAAAAATGTAAAAAATTAGTAGAGATACTTTTTGAAATTGAAGAATAATTATATGAACATTTATAAAATAATGATACAAATGAATTTAATAAATAATTTACAAGAGAAAATCATCATTTATTTAAATAAGGTATGGAATTAATACCTTATAAACGATTCAGAACATATGATCCAATAAAAGAGATGAAAAAGTAAGAAAGTCTAAATTATAAATAAAAGATGTTTCTTGCAAAAATGGAAATGTAAGATTATTTAGAAGGAACAGGAGCTTGGGATGTCTATTAAGCATAAAATAATTATACATTAGGAAATTTAGTTAGATATTTGATAGAATGTTAATTTTAGGATAAAACAATTGAAATACCATAAACTGATATACCTTATGTACCTTTTAGAGGAAGTTTAATAGGTTTTTCTTTTAGTGGTAAGAAAACAATAAGTGAATTGTTATCTAAAAAATATGGAATTTAAATATTATCTATAGATGTAATAATAAATGAATTATTGGAATATATAAAGAAATATGAATAAGGAGAAGAACATTCATAGATTTGGGATTAATAATAAATTGAATTAGGATAATAAATATTGGAATATTTATGTTAAGGATAAGATATACCAGAAGAATTGTATATAAAAGCAATAGTTTAGAAGATAAAAAGATTATTTGATAAATAGGAATTTGAATAGATATATGATGAATATAAATCTAAATATTAATCATTTAATCCTAGATAGAGTAGAACAATTGATGAATTTAATGATGATGGAATTAATTGGGAAGATTTTCATAGAAATAATATGATTAATAATAAACCATATTGTAAAGGTTGGCTTTTAGTAGGATTTCCCCATAATTATGAATAAGCAAAGTTATTAGAGAAATATTTAACTGGAATAGAACCTTAAGATGAACTTACACCATTATAAGCAAGATTATAAGAAGCAGCAAGAGTTGTTAAACCTATAGATTATTAAATTATTCCGAGAAAAAAATAAGAAAGTGGATTAGGAGTTTGTGTATATTTAGAGATGCCATCAAATGAATAATGCTTAAGAAGAGCAATAGGTAGAAGATATGATAATCATAATCATTCATTATATCATTTAGATTCTAATACTCCTCCAGTTGATAATGCTCCATTAATTGAAAGAATTAAACCATTATATGAAGTTGACAATTTATAATAACTTATTTCAGATAAAAATGCTTATTTTATGACTTAAATTTAAGGAGTTTAAAATTGGTATAATAATTTTGAATCTGCTGATAATTCTAATACATTAAGTGCATTTATTAATGTAGATGCATCTAATAATTATGAGAGAGTATTTTATGATGTTGATAAAATATTTTAAAACTTTCTTTAAATTTAAGTTAATAAAATATAATAGAAGTATGATAAACAATAAAATCATATTTTAGAATAAGAAGAATTAATCAAATAATAATAAGAATAAGCTGAATCTGATAAAAGATGTTAATTTAAATAGGTTTAATTAGAAACTTTACCATAGAAATAACCAAGCTAATAATTTATTTAATATTTACATTCACTTTGGAATCAAATTGAAACTAAATATTTCTCAATCCAAAATATTTTTAAAGGATTCAGAGAATAAAGAGAATTCCTTACAAATTATTTAATGGATATCTAAAGAAAATTTATAGATCTTATTAATACTCCAGATGAAAAGTTTTATCATGTAAGAAACTTTTAGGAATAATACAATTCATTTGTTTAAGAAAATCCAGATTTATGTGAAGAAGATGTATGCAAAGAAGAATTACATTAAAGAGTAGATGATTTATATGATCAATTAATAGATATAATTGATTAAAAGAGAGATGATTTATAAATAGAAAAATAGTAAATTTCTAATTCATAATTCATTGAAAATGAAATTGATCTATTTTTATTATAAGTTAGATAATTATTAGCAATAGAATTAGATAGAGCATAAAATTCAATATAATTACTTAATGATTATTATGGAACATTAGAAGCTATAGAATTATAGGATATATAACCTAGTGTTGGAGAATTATAATTATAAGATGGAGATGATCCTAATGCAAGATTAGAAAAATTGATTGCTGATTCATTGAGAATATTTGCAGGAGAGGAAGAAATAATAGAAGATAAAACAAAAAAGGGAGGTAAATAACCAGCAAAAAAAGATGAAAAGAAAGGAAAAAAAGGGAAAGAAGAAGAAATTGTAAAAAAGGAACTTTAAAATCCTGATGCTATAAATGCAATAAATTTAGAAAAATAAATATTTAAAGATAGAGTAGATGCTATAAAAAGATATGCATAATAGTAAATTAGAACATACAGATAAGCTGCAGATCAATTGTATCTTAAATTAGATGAATGGATATACTATACTCATTAAACAGAAATAAAAGCATTAGATGCAATATCTAATTTATTTAGAGGTTATATTGAAAGAGTTGAAAGAATTTAAAAGGAACTTTAATTATAGTTTGTTGATGTAATAATTAGTCATGAAGTTCTAAACTTTTTAACTCCAATTCCTCCACCTTTGTCAGCAAGAGAACCCTTATCAAAAGAAAGATATTCTATTTCATAACTCTACTATCTTATTGAAGATCTTAGAGCAATAACAAGCACACATTTACTAATTGATATTAAATAATTAGCATTACTTTTAGCAAGGTCTTCTTATGGAGTCTTAAAATACTCACCATCATAATGGATGCAAGCATTATAAATTCTTAATTAAAATGGGTATTAATTGATATCTAAATTTTAGTTACGTTAATGTAAGATAAATTTGTACATACTTGATTCTTCTTTCATCTCCTACTCCAAGAGAAGACGAGTTACAATAATATTCTAGTAAACTTGGTTAACCTTTAATAAACAAGGACACTTTTGTTAATACTCCAGCATGGTTTGATGATTATGAAAGAATTCCAGAAGAAGAAAGTTAATATTATATCAAATATTTTAGATACTAATTACTTTGATCGTGTTATTTACATTAAGGAATTATTGTTCTTTGTTCATAAAGATGAAAATGATATGTTAGCTACCAAATAATATATTGATATCCTTAATGTTGAAGGGGACAGATTTGTAGATTATTTATTGCAAAATATGCAGCATTAATGATATTCTATAAAATAATAATTATACAAAGTTTATTTTTGTTTTTACTTACTATTTCTTAATGCATAATTTATTTTTTATTATTATACATAAGAGAAATAATTGATATTAATAATTAAAGAGGGTAAATTTTAGAAAAATTTATATATAACGATATCGAATAAGATTCGTTTAGTGATATGTAACTATAAATATAATAGATTAATCTTTTCAATATTAAACAATTATGTTATAACAGGATCTTTAAATTAGGTACTGATTTTGTTTAATAATGTGTAAATTTTTTATGATAAAATATAAATAATAAGTTAATATAATTTCAATTATTGCACATATAAAGCAATTCAAATAATTAAGTACATTCATCTTAATATTCCAAAGAATAACGCTATAAGTTCAAACCTCCCTTTTTCTCTTGCAATAATTTAACTAATAATTAAGGATTTGCATTATTATCTTTAAAAAATTATTCTATTTATGTAAAAATTGTTTTTATTTTAACTGATTTTTTCAAGCTACCTAGCTTTTTCTTTGCTTTCTGAAGATTCTCTTAATTTATTTTTTATTATTAATCAATCTAACATATTTAATTATAAAAATACTTATTGTTTTTGAATACTTTTTTCAATACTCTTTTTTTACAAATCAGCAATAGATTTAGCTGCTTATTAAGCTGATAATAATTTTAATTATTATTTTTCTGAAGCAAGATCTTGAATCTTTGTCATTGTTTCCTAAATATCTGACATTAAACCAATTCGATCTTATTAAGGTACTTTTTCCATTAATTCACTTATTATTTAGATTTATTTTGTTGCCTCATCTTTTACTGAACTCAAACCTCTTATGTTATCTTATAGCAATTTTAAAAAAATCTAATTCACAACTTAGCATACATCATTATTTGACACAGGCATTTCTTTGAGATTAATTTTTTTTCCATTTAAGTTGACCATTGGATGTTCTGAAATGAATGTTTAATTAGGTGCAATTGTATTTAATTTTTTACCTTATGGTACTAATGAAACTGATGGTTCAACCTTAATCAAAGGGTAGAATAATTCTGCTTTTATTTCTTCTAATATTTTTTCAAAATCAACTTTCGAATCTTAAATAAGTTCCATCTAAGAACTTATTAAAGTTGAATTATGAATTCTATTTTTCAGTTCAGCAACAATAATGTGAGAAAATGAAGTTCCAACTGCAATTGTGAAAAATTTAAATTAATATTCTTGCTAATGAAATTGTGAGAATTCTTCAGCTAAATTTTCAATGTAATCTTCCAATTTATCATCCCCTACTCCATCTGTGATAAAAATAACAATCACATTCTTTTTTATTCTTTTACTTTTCACTAACTCTATCAATTCTAAAAACCCTTTTGAAATCATTGTTTAACCTCCTAGTTATGTATCTAACTTTGAATNTATACATAAGAGAAATAATTGATATTAATAATTAAAGAGGGTAAATTTTAGAAAAATTTATATATAACGATATCGAATAAGATTCGTTTAGTGATATGTAACTATAAATATAATAGATTAATCTTTTCAATATTAAACAATTATGTTATAACAGGATCTTTAAATTAGGTACTGATTTTGTTTAATAATGTGTAAATTTTTTATGATAAAATATAAATAATAAGTTAATATAATTTCAATTATTGCACATATAAAGCAATTCAAATAATTAAGTACATTCATCTTAATATTCCAAAGAATAACGCTATAAGTTCAAACCTCCCTTTTTCTCTTGCAATAATTTAACTAATAATTAAGGATTTGCATTATTATCTTTAAAAAATTATTCTATTTATGTAAAAATTGTTTTTATTTTAACTGATTTTTTCAAGCTACCTAGCTTTTTCTTTGCTTTCTGAAGATTCTCTTAATTTATTTTTTATTATTAATCAATCTAACATATTTAATTATAAAAATACTTATTGTTTTTGAATACTTTTTTCAATACTCTTTTTTTACAAATCAGCAATAGATTTAGCTGCTTATTAAGCTGATAATAATTTTAATTATTATTTTTCTGAAGCAAGATCTTGAATCTTTGTCATTGTTTCCTAAATATCTGACATTAAACCAATTCGATCTTATTAAGGTACTTTTTCCATTAATTCACTTATTATTTAGATTTATTTTGTTGCCTCATCTTTTACTGAACTCAAACCTCTTATGTTATCTTATAGCAATTTTAAAAAAATCTAATTCACAACTTAGCATACATCATTATTTGACACAGGCATTTCTTTGAGATTAATTTTTTTTCCATTTAAGTTGACCATTGGATGTTCTGAAATGAATGTTTAATTAGGTGCAATTGTATTTAATTTTTTACCTTATGGTACTAATGAAACTGATGGTTCAACCTTAATCAAAGGGTAGAATAATTCTGCTTTTATTTCTTCTAATATTTTTTCAAAATCAACTTTCGAATCTTAAATAAGTTCCATCTAAGAACTTATTAAAGTTGAATTATGAATTCTATTTTTCAGTTCAGCAACAATAATGTGAGAAAATGAAGTTCCAACTGCAATTGTGAAAAATTTAAATTAATATTCTTGCTAATGAAATTGTGAGAATTCTTCAGCTAAATTTTCAATGTAATCTTCCAATTTATCATCCCCTACTCCATCTGTGATAAAAATAACAATCACATTCTTTTTTATTCTTTTACTTTTCACTAACTCTATCAATTCTAAAAACCCTTTTGAAATCATTGTTTAACCTCCTAGTTATGTATCTAACTTTGAATTTTATTGTAGTTAAGCTGATTTATTGAATTAAATGCAAAATGAACTCTTGAAATCTTTTATAAAATTATTCCAAGCATTGGATAGATCTTACCAATATATATTCATACTTGTAGATCCATCAATTACACCTACAACAGAAAAATTATTGTCTGCTTTTTAATCTACTACAGTATATAAGTAGAATTAATTAANCTATAAATATAATAGATTAATCTTTTCAATATTAAACAATTATGTTATAACAGGATCTTTAAATTAGGTACTGATTTTGTTTAATAATGTGTAAATTTTTTATGATAAAATATAAATAATAAGTTAATATAATTTCAATTATTGCACATATAAAGCAATTCAAATAATTAAGTACATTCATCTTAATATTCCAAAGAATAACGCTATAAGTTCAAACCTCCCTTTTTCTCTTGCAATAATTTAACTAATAATTAAGGATTTGCATTATTATCTTTAAAAAATTATTCTATTTATGTAAAAATTGTTTTTATTTTAACTGATTTTTTCAAGCTACCTAGCTTTTTCTTTGCTTTCTGAAGATTCTCTTAATTTATTTTTTATTATTAATCAATCTAACATATTTAATTATAAAAATACTTATTGTTTTTGAATACTTTTTTCAATACTCTTTTTTTACAAATCAGCAATAGATTTAGCTGCTTATTAAGCTGATAATAATTTTAATTATTATTTTTCTGAAGCAAGATCTTGAATCTTTGTCATTGTTTCCTAAATATCTGACATTAAACCAATTCGATCTTATTAAGGTACTTTTTCCATTAATTCACTTATTATTTAGATTTATTTTGTTGCCTCATCTTTTACTGAACTCAAACCTCTTATGTTATCTTATAGCAATTTTAAAAAAATCTAATTCACAACTTAGCATACATCATTATTTGACACAGGCATTTCTTTGAGATTAATTTTTTTTCCATTTAAGTTGACCATTGGATGTTCTGAAATGAATGTTTAATTAGGTGCAATTGTATTTAATTTTTTACCTTATGGTACTAATGAAACTGATGGTTCAACCTTAATCAAAGGGTAGAATAATTCTGCTTTTATTTCTTCTAATATTTTTTCAAAATCAACTTTCGAATCTTAAATAAGTTCCATCTAAGAACTTATTAAAGTTGAATTATGAATTCTATTTTTCAGTTCAGCAACAATAATGTGAGAAAATGAAGTTCCAACTGCAATTGTGAAAAATTTAAATTAATATTCTTGCTAATGAAATTGTGAGAATTCTTCAGCTAAATTTTCAATGTAATCTTCCAATTTATCATCCCCTACTCCATCTGTGATAAAAATAACAATCACATTCTTTTTTATTCTTTTACTTTTCACTAACTCTATCAATTCTAAAAACCCTTTTGAAATCATTGTTTAACCTCCTAGTTATGTATCTAACTTTGAATTTTATTGTAGTTAAGCTGATTTATTGAATTAAATGCAAAATGAACTCTTGAAATCTTTTATAAAATTATTCCAAGCATTGGATAGATCTTACCAATATATATTCATACTTGTAGATCCATCAATTACACCTACAACAGAAAAATTATTGTCTGCTTTTTAATCTACTACAGTATATAAGTAGAATTAATTAATTGGAAAATATTTTTATTGTTTACTTATAATTTTTCTTTCTATAATCAATCATTTTTAATAATTTTTTCATACAAGTAATAAGGGAAAATTCAATTCAACTTTTTTTAGTATATTTCTTATTTTCTACCTTAAAATAATTATGATTTATAAATTATTTCTTCTTATTTTTTTTTATTTATCATACAATATTAGTATAATTGATTTAAATGAATAGAAAAAAAAACTTTAATTCTTCATTTTAAGGAAAATTGATAAGATTATATTATTAGCATTTATTTAGGGAAATTTAACATAATAAAATTGATTAACTTGTTATTTTGTTTATTATTAATTAATTTATTCGGATTCATTTTTTTTATGTTTCATGTTATTCCTTCTATCTAATTCCAAAATGTAAGTTTATTTTTATTTTTTTTTATTTATTTAAATAGTTTATGGATCCTTAGTAATGAATTATAAAAAAGATTTAGATACTTCTGAGTAATTTAAGTATTAAATTAAAAAAATTCATACATTTAATAAAACTATTTGCTTTTGGATGTGAATATTTTTCTACCGAATTATAGCATTTATTATTTCTATATAACAATATAACATAAAGATATTCTATTATAAACCTATCAAAATAATCTTAGTAAAATATACATATAAATTAGATATTTCTTCCACTAAAAAATAAAGCCAAATATTTTGATTAATTTTGGCTTTTTATTACATAGTCATAGTAACATATTGTTTGATAATTTATCCTAAAATAGAAAATTAGACTCTACTCTATGCTGTTTAAGCTTATATATTTTATACATTTATGATTATGAGTCTACTGCTGCCATTATCATCCTAATTAAATTTAGTTATTATTATTTTATACAAAGAACTAAATAATGAAAAAGAAAATCAGAAGTGTTTTGATTCTATTTTAACTCTTATCGATTCTATTATTTATCAGAATAATTTTCTAGGCTAATATTTTTCAATTATTTTAGCATTGTTATTTATTAGGAAGATAAAATAATTCGAGATATTGTTAATTATCAAAATTTTGTTTTATCAGATCTAATAATTGCCTAAAAGATTCACATTTCAATTTTATTGATTAAATATGTTTATCCTTTTTTTTATAATAATTTTAGATAAGGAACATTATTTATTAAAATACTCCAAATTTAATTGCATTCTAAAATAGCAGGTTATTTTGATTAACAAGTTTTATAAAAAACACTACTTAATATCCCATTTTTAATAAGCTTCAGAGATTACTAACTTAGAAATAACCCTCTTCATTAAAAAACAAAATATCATGATAAAAAATTACTTTTAGAATAAATAAATTTTAAATACAAAAATAATAAAAATTTTGGAAGCTAGATAATAGAAACAAGTAACAAATAAGAATGAAGAAAAACAGGTTAAAAATGATGCACTTTCAAAAAAATTGAAACTAAAAAAATAGATCATTAATCTAATAATTAATAAATCCTAACATTTGTTTATTAATAGTATTTAGGGATATGCAGTATATGTTTAGAATAATTTGAAATCATGAATAAATCAAAAAAAAATAATAAAATTTGATTATTTTGGCAATCATATTTTCCATTTTGATTGTATATATAATTGGTTCAAACATAATATAAAATGCCCCTTATATAAGAGTAATATCATAAAAATTGCTATTAATTGATTATTGTAACTAATTTATGATTTGAATAAATATTTTATTAATTTTTAATCTCATAATCTGAATCTTAATATATATTGATTTTTATTAACTATATGAATTTAATATGGTATATTAAATTTGAAGTATACTTTTCAGATAAAGCTGTTGGTTAATTAGTCTTAATCTGATTTCATGATTCCAATAATTAATAAAATAATTGAATTATGAAATGAATGTAAATTCATTTTAAATTAGAATTGATTTATAAAATATAAAAATTATGATAATAATCTCATAAATTTGATTGCTTAAACTCAACCATATTAATTTGTGCAATTTCTGTGGTTTAATTATTATACTATGGTATCTCATTTTAATTATAATTATTTAAACAATTTTAAGATCTCTCAAAAATAGCTCTTAGTCTTTTTGCTGTTTTATTTTTTGCATTAAAATAAAGGAATCCATAAATTGCAAATATAACTAACCAAATAGCTAAAAGAATTCCTAAAAAAGTGTAACAATATTGATATGACTCGCAATGCCAATCTCCATCAGACCAAAAGCAACATTCTTCACAATAATATAATGTTCCATATTATGTAAAATCTAAAAGTATTTATATTCTTACAGCAAGAGCATCTAACAGATACAAGAAACGATAATAGCAGCAATGATTTCATTTAAAATAAATTCTTAATTTATATATACTTTGGAAAAGAGTCTAAAAATGTAATATAGAATTACAATTATAATTGTTTGTTTTTTGAATTTGGCATTTAGAATAGAATAAGAAACAAAAAGATATTTTAATAGCTATATGAGCAGTGTAACTTAAAAAGTGACTTATAATTTAGATGAATAAAACAATGAAATCATTTTATTATCTAAAATATTGAAAAATTATGGATAACAAAATTTTAATATTTTGTAAAATAATGAACCCTTTTTATATTTATTTTTTTATAACAAATATATATCAATTCTTACTTAAAAAACTTATTTAATCTAAAAATTTTTATTGGTTATGACAAATCTTTATTTCTCTTTAAATATTTTCTTAATCAATTAATAATTAACAAAATTTACTGTTTCTAATTTTTATAACCTGCTAAATAATATCACAAATAACTCCACTAGCATATGATATATTATAGACCTATTAAACAGAAATTTCTAAAATAGGTGTTATATTCTCTAATTAACTCTAATTTATTTTATGAATTATAATTTATTCTAACTGTAGAACTATATCAAATGGTTTTAATAAAAACTCTTTAACTTTTTCCCAATTATTTTACTTGTGATTTTTAAAATTTAACAAAATCATCAAATAAGATAAGATCTATATTACTAATTAAGGTGGTTTATTATACGCTCGCACTTCCAATAAGTAAAATTTATTAAGATTATTTGCTAACTATTTTATGCATTTCACTTTGTTTTGGAACTCTGCTTCTTATTATTAATAACTCTCTTGATTATTTATTAACTAAAATTAGAATAATTTATATTCTATTTTTTGTTTTATTGATTATTATTTTAAGATTGATATAGTTGAAATCCTACGTTTCATTAAATGGCTTAATAATCTTAATTCCAAATATTAATGAAATACTAAAAAATTAGTAATTTGAAACATGATTTCAGGTTAAAGTCTTTCAAATTTTGAGATTGAATACTTTTATAAAATAAAGAAATACATTAATTTTTTTCTGATTTTATTCATGAATTGCTTCATTATTGTGATTTGACTTATTCCTTTATATTGGAGTTTTAACTTAAAATAATTTTTACGCTTTTTGCATAAATAAGAAAAACAATATATGTTAAATATTATATCAGAAAAGTGATATTATGAATTGATATCTTTGAAATAATAATATAATTAATTGATTATTTAAAAACATAAGATGGAGTATATATAGATTAATGCTGAAGGTGCTGAAAACTATAGTTCAAAGGATATGTCACCTGAAAGTACAACAAGACCTTTAAATAATAATACTCAATATGGAAAATATGTGATCATTGCAAAAATGATATTTTTAGAGCCTCGTTGTAATAATTTATAGGATTATTTATAAAAGGGCCATTATTTGGAAGTACTTTAATTGGATTAATTATATTTGATTATAATAATGAGAGAATAAAACTTTAGGTCATGATATAAGTTTTGCAATAATTATTACTATTGCACAATCAGTATTTTATTTTGGTGTTGGATTAGCTAATCCTGGTATTGCAAATGATTCATCTCTTAATGAAAAATATATTGGATAATTGTACTCTTTATCAAATAAACCATAATAAAGAAATGTATGGTATTGTGAAAAATGTTAAAAAATATAACCAGCTAGATCTGCTCATTGCCCATTTTGTATGATTCGTATAAAAAAATCATGATCATCATTGTCTTTGGACAGGAAAATGTATAGGAGGGGAGAATCTATTTCATTTCTGGCCATTTCTTCTCTCAACTATTATTTTCTTTACTTATTTTATTACGATAATGCTAAATTAAAGAAAGGAAGCAGAAAAATAATGAAATAGTTTAAATAGTAAATACCTTTGGATAATTATAATTATCAAATATTTTTTAATTAATTTTTATTAAGATTCAAAATTTTAATAAAATCCTCCAAACTATATTCAACAATTTGTCTGATTAAGCATTCCTTTCTTTTCTTTAAAAATATAAGTATATTATTATTTAAATATGAATTCATCATTTCGTTAAATATTTTTATCTCCTTCTATGATATTGAGTTATTTGAGATTTGTTAGTTTAAGGTGTACCATTTGATTAAAATATAAACTATCTTAATGTTTATGTACAATAAAATTAAAAAACACGATACTGAGATTCAATCTCAATTAAACATTTTACTTCACAGTCGATTTTATATTGGAGAAACAACAAATTTTGAATTGTCAAAAATATTATCGAAATTTCCAATAGAAGAATCAGTTATATTTTAGGGAATAAGAAGTTCGTGATTAATTTTGTAAAAAGAGTAATTTTTAGTTGTTCTATATATAATTTTAATGATCAAATAATGATATCAATAAATAGATATGTTTTGGTGAATTTAATACAAAATTCATTTGATTGAAAATATCATAAATCTATTGTATTTTTATAAACTAAAGCCTAGATGTAAATATAATGAATTACAAAAAGGATTTTCATTGAGAATCTTTTTTAGAATGTAAGATTTTACATTGTTTGAATAATTGATAAAAGCTATTGGGATTATGATTTATGAATATAAGTTCTATATGTAGATAAACTGAATATAAAGTCATGATTTAATATAGAGAATCTGGAAATAGATTTATGCAGTTTTATGTGTTTAAGTAAAAAAGTTATTGATATTTAGCGGTTGATTAGAAAATTGATATGAGGATTCAAATATATTTAGTAAATATTTGTGAGAGGATAGTAAAAGTTAGATAACCGTATGAGTTGTAAATAGAAGAAAGAGAAAAAGAATGAGAACTTTTGTAGTTAGTTTAATGTTTTTGGAATATAATTGAATTTTAAATTGTGTTATCAAATTATTTATTCAATATAGGAATCCTAATGAAAATAGATTTTTCATTGGATTTATGAAGTATTTAAAGGGACTAGTTAATACTCAACATTAGAAATTATATCATTTGAGGTTGTTGTAATTATTCTCAACTTTGAAATCCTATCTGATTGCAGTTCAGTGTATGAGCACATCTTTGATCCTACTTAAATAATTTATTTCCTTTCCTCTCTAAGATGGAATATAATAGTCTTAGCTGTGGCATACTTAATTTATAGTTTCTTAGCAGCCTATTTAATGGATTTAATAGTATCATACTTCTTTAATTTTAAACCCTTCCTTGAGTACAAGTCTAGACAGTTAATCCTTAGAAACTGGAGGCACTTTGATGTATGTTCTCTTATATTCTTAGAATATCCCTGGGACTATTTTTGAACGTGGCCTGAGTTCTTTTTTTAAAGGTGATTTATTTCTTTCATCACTTTTTTAAGGATTCTATTCACCTTCATCAATGATATTCATCTAATTCAATATTAATATTTAAAAATCTTTATAAATATCCAAATTCGAGCAAATCAGCCCTTAGTGCGTCATGGTTTAGAAGTATTCAATATTTTCACTGATAAAATTTTTAAAATACCTTCTAAAATCGAGAATTATTCAAATCATTATGTCTTCATTATTTATTGTTATTAAATGTATGACGAACATTAACCCAGGAGGTGAAACAACTCAAATTTTAAATATTTTAATATTAATATAAAAATTATCAAATGTAATTATGAATCTTCTATTAACAATTATTTATTATTATTATTCTAGCAACATTATAAATTTACATTTATATTCTCTAAATCAATAAATTTTTATATGTTTAAATTAAAAAGTGGCTCTTTTTTTCCTATTTCTAATTTTTAATAATAAGCAATATAAGTTTAATTTAAGAGTTCAGAATCATTAACATTTACATTATTAAGTAATAAAGTAATAATTTAACCAATAAAACTAGTTAAAAATTTACTTCTTTTTTTAAAAAAAGACAATCATAATTTTATTAAAATATATGGTTTCATTCTTTTTCTTTTTAAATATTAGAATGTATACATAAAGATTATAGATATTGTTTAAGATGGAATAATTTATTGGCATTTTAATTGTAAAAGTATGATCGAAGTAATTACTCTTGAGAGAATGGAGAATAGAAATCTTGATTTATATATATATATAATATTTAAGAGTGTTTTTTTAAACAAATAAATATCAAGAAGAGAAATGCGGAATATGTTGAGTTGTTTAAAAAAAGAACTTTATAGGAATTTAATATAACAAAATTAGCCAAAACTAAATATATAAAATAAAAATATAAAGTATTTAGAATAAGTTATTTTTATGAAGGTAATGTAAATAAAAAGAGAGGAGAAAATATTGGAATGATTTTATTAATAGATAAGATAAAAATAAGTTTAGAAATGTGAAATAAAAATGAAATAGTATATAGAAGTAGGATATGCATTATCAAATAGAGTGAAATGTTAGAAATGTATGTAGAACATAATAAAGGATGATATAAGAATAGGATATGTATATACAAGATCTCCTGAATTTGGTTTTGATAAGAAAATATGGTAACATTTGAATTGTTTAACATCAATAAAGGGAGATAGAAATTAAGATTTAGATATAGTGAATATTCATATATTGAAAGAAGGAGATTAGAAAAAGGTGAAATAGAAAATAGATTAGATAAAGAAGTGTAATTATTAGAAAAGTAAATTTATTAAGAAAATAATATAGAGGATTAAAAGGATGTGAAATATTTGTCAAAATAGGAACATTTTTAGAATTATGTTAAGATTTAATTGGATTTACATTAAAATTAGAAATTAAGATAATAAGGATTGTTATTTAAGAAGATGGATTAGAGTGATGAATAATGATAATAAATAATTAAAAGATTATATTCAAAATTTATATTTTTGATTGATTCCAAATCCTAAGAATTTACCAATTTTAGGAGCAGCAAGACATTAATGTAATTTCATATTATTAATAACATCAGGCATAGATCTATCTCTAGTTAATTTAGATGTAACTGATCCAGTCACACTATGATTATCAATTCTTGATAAACTTGGTAATTATTATTTAGATAAGTATTTATAAAATTAAGTAGCAGGAATTGATGGCAATTCTGATTTTAATGGTGTTTTAAATTCTTAAATACTAAAGCTATTTTAATATTTATTATCCATAATAATATTAGGAAATTATGATTGAGTATTTTCTTCTATGATTTCTGAATCTTTTATTAATAGATCATAGAACTTACCAATATCATTTACTTTTACTATACCATTTTTAGGTATACTATCATCATAATCACTTTATTTAGTTTTTTAAGTAGTATTTTATCTATGTCCACCTTATTTCTTTTTTAAATAAGATTATTCATAAGATCCTTTTAAAATGCTATTATTCATAGTAATACTTGAATATTCTTCTTTAGATAAACGGATAGATTGTGATTATTCAGAAGCTAAATATTAATCCATTTTATTTTATATTCTATATGGTAAATCTTAAGCTTATGTATGTTTACTTCTATTTCCTTTTTCATAATTTTCAAGTTCTAAAAACACTCCTGGTTTTAATTCTAAGACTTCCATAAATTCTTAAATAGGATTTCTCTCTTATTCTGCTATAATTTATAATGCTTCTGCATTTTCAATTGTAGGTTATACTTTAAACACTTTTAATTTAGGTTTTGGAAATTATGGTCTTTTAGGTTTAATAACTGTTAATTCATCTATTTAAGATTGAATAGGTAATTCCTTTATTTATTAACCTTCAATCTTTCTTACAGGTGCTAATTATACTCTTTTAGCTTTAAGTATAAGTTTACCATCAATATCATAAGTTACTTTATCTGGTTAACCATCAACTAAAACTCTCATTTTTCTTCTTTCTTCTTATTTCTCTTACTCTATTTATGCTTAATTTTCTTAGAATTCTTTTTTCATTCTTTCTCTGTATGATAATTAACTTCTTAATTGATCATCATATAAATCACTTTCAGGTTCTTATTATGTTTATACTATTTCAGGTTAAAATTCATCCCAACAAGGAGGTTTCTCTTCATACTATTCTTCTACTAATACTTCAATCTTATTTTATGGAATTCTTTTTAATGCTTTCAACAATTGTGCATTTTATCTTCTCCATTATTCATTTTAAGGTACTTATGGTTCATCTTCTTCTTCTAAATTTTATTTGATTTAGTCATATTCAAATTACTTTACTATTGATTCTAACAATTCTATAGTCTTAATTAATGTATGTGATGGCATATTTCTTAATACATCACTTACATTAAGACCATTATTTAGAGATATCATGAGATGTTTTATGCTATCCTAGACGATAACATGGACTTCTATAAGAGATTAATATATAGTATCAATCTCGGAACTGAGAATAGAAGAACGATGCAATGCTGAAGGTGTTGAAATTTGTAAATTATTCATTTTTTTTTAGCTTTAGAATCATCTTTTTTTGGAACCTCCTTCTATCCTTATTTCTATTGCTTCTATGGACTATTTGTTTTTTATCCATTGAGTCCTTTCTTATCTTTATCTTATGGAGTCTTGATTCCAGGTAATGTTAAACCATTTTTAATTTCTTCTCTCTTCTACTCAACTCTGAGCTTTCTTTAGTCACTCATCTCTTTTCTCTAAATTTGAATATGATTATCAATATACCTTCTATTCTTCTTCTTAATATTCTTTTAGTTTATATGTTGCAGGACTGAATTACTTTACTGATGAAAAACCTAATTATGCTCTTTATGCTTATAAATATCTCTCTTTCTCTTTTTAATATAATTTAACTATAATTATTTAGTATTTCATACCTTTTTCTTCATCATATATAGATACCTCTAATTTTGGTTATGATTTAATTAATTCTAAATGTTTAGGATGATTCTTTCTAAATGGATATGTTATTTTTCTATAATCTACAGGAACTCTTTATTTATCTTATTCTTCTAACATTTTCTATTTCTTTAATCTCTTTCTTGTTGATATATCTAATTCCTTTTACTTTAAATTCAAACCTATTGCTACTAAATATCTTTCAGATGGATTCTAAGATTCTAATATAATAAACAGAATATTACCTTATGTATAATCTAAAATTCCACTAAATCCTAATATCTCTCTATCTTTTATCTCTATACGAAAATCTTTAGTAAAATTATCTTTATATTTCATATTACCAACTTATATTATTCTCTTTTTAGTTGTTTCAAATTTCAAAAATATTATCTATTCTTAATTATAAAATCCAGATATATAACTTAATTTATCTTCAGGTGTTATAATTATTTATTCCTTTCCTATACTACCTTCTTATAATCCTATATGTTTAGTAATCTTTTATTCTTCTTTATTATCTGCATTTCCATAAGTCAATTCCAAACCAATTATTAAGTCATTTTTACTATTCTTACATACTACTATCTAATTTATAGGCATATTCAATGTCCAATCTAAATTCTTTGAATCATCAAATGGCAAACATGTTTCTGTCTTTTTATCTATTCCAAACATTATACTCTCTGGCTTTTATTATGTACTCTATATCTATTCTTATACTTATCTTTTATCTAATAATTATAACTATCGTTGCAAATCATTTAATTTTGTAACTGTCGATTTTGTTTAAACTTCTTTCTCTTTTAATTATTTTGCTAATTATCCTACATCTTCACTCAATTTTGAATATTCTTCTAATTAAAACTTCCTTTCTTTTTATGTTTATTTCTCCTTCTTTTCAAGATCTTATTATAAATTCTAAACATCCTCTTAAAGTTTCTTAAATATCTCATTATCTTTCTTAAATTCAATTAATGCTTTATTCAATTCATCATTTTCTTCTGGCTTTTTTTAATTCTCCTTTTATTTCAAAAATCCCATCTAATTATCTTTTTAAATTTTTTATGCACATTTTATTGCATTCTTTAAATTTGAATTATTTGTATTATCTTCATCTTATTCTTTACTTGATTTATAATAATCCTTTTCTTCACATGGTTTATTTAATTTATTACACATAGAACGATAACTATATATATATAAATTTATTACATATTTTTAAGTTCAGTAAAGTAATTATTCATTTCTATTTCTCTTCTTGTTTAATGTAATTCTTCTTTCTATTAATTTTTTATATCTTCTTTTAATTTCTTAATATCTTCTTTTAAACTATCTAATCTACTTTCATAATCACAATCTATTTATTATTATTTTAATTCTAATTCTTATTCTCTTATTATTAAAAACATTTTTCTATTAAGTCTTTCTTCATCAGCTATTTATTTTTCTACAAGAAGGATTTCATTACTCAGTTTATTAACTTCTTCTGTTTAATCAAGATTTTTATTTCTATCTTTTAATGCTTTGATTTATTCTCTTAATAGAGTATTTGATTGTTCCATTTTATCGATATTTATCAATTTATCCACTTAATAATATTATATATTAGTTTACATATTCTTGAATCTATCTTATCAGCAAAGTCTTTTGTTGATTTATTATTATTTTTTATTTCATATAAAATCTTCTTTTCAGCAAGATGATTATGTTTTGGATCTAATTTTTATTCTAATAATTTTTATTTTCTAACATTAGATTATACTAATTTTTCAGCTTTGTCTCCTAATTTTTTGAGTTGTGTTCTTAAATTATTATTTCTTCGTCTTAATTTTTAGACTTATTAAACATGTTAAGCCAATAAATCTTTTAATTTCCTTAATTTTTGATTTTCATCTAAACCTTATTCATCAATAGTAATTTTAAGACCACCTGTGAATTCATTATTTTTAAGACTATATATAATATAAATAATATTTTACTCATCATCTTCTTTAGGATTGTCTCCATCATCTACGAAATCTCCATCTCCATCTTCATTATTATCTTCTAAATCTTTATTATCATCATCAGGATTATCTCCTTTATCAAGATCATCATCTTTATATGGGTCTTCGTCTGACATAAGTTATATTTTTAATATAAAAATTAATTAAAATTTTCAATTCCTTTATGCTCCTACAATTTTTCACATCTCTTATTCAATTATCCCTATTAATTAAACAATATTTCCAAACATTAAAACTATATTAAAGAACATCAACTTTTTTATGTACTTTTATTATACCTTTATAGTAATAATTAATATTAATTTAATACCATAAATAGTACATAAACCAAATTTTATCAAAATAAGAGTCTAATCTATATATCTAATCTAAATAGAAATTATAAATTATATTCTTTTTTTAATCTTCTTTAAATAATAGAAAAAATTCTACATTCAAAGTTTAAAAAATCATTTGATTTTTACTTAATAACATAATTAATAAAAACAGCCAGATTAATTAGTTATAATTATATAAAGAATTCAATTACAAACAAATTTGGATTATTGAAATTGACTAATACTAATCAAAATTTTAATGCTAATTTTATGACCTATAAAGAATAAATATACTTCATTCAAAGATGATAAAACTAAAAGCTTAAACTTAACTAAGTTAATTTAATCTATCTTTAAATTGATGTGCTGCATATTTACAATTCCATTATTAATTAATTGACTTTTAAAATGCATACCCATTTCTATTTGGCCTATAATATTCATAGATTATTCTCTTGTGATACCACAAACATCAAAAACACATAATATTTTGATTACATTTTTTCTAAATATTTATCAAAGTAGACAGATAATGTTAAAGTACTTTCCAAAATAATTTATTAGGACTATTTTATACTAAATATTATTAATATTAATTATCTTAACAAAATACAATTTCTTTTACCCAAATTGTTTATTATGGTTTCATATACCATAGAATTGGGCGGTTTCTTTATTATCACCATCTAATATAAAGAGGTGTTTTAATTTTAAATATTTCATAAACTTATATTTTTTTAATAGATAAGTAGTTTGAAAATACTATTAGAATAAAGAAGTTATTTTTTAATTAAGTTTATTCATTTTTTATAAAATAATATAGAAAATGAAAACAAGAGTGAATCTTCTCTATGATAGATCTTGTTTTAATTGCTCATTTTGTAATATAGCTAATAAGACTTAATTTATTCATCCTTATAAAAAAGGTATTATTATTTATTGAAATTTGAAATTCAATTAGATTGATGAAAACTTTAAACTCTCATTCAAAAGAAAGTTCATTTCAATATTTAATCTATTTTGTTGTAATTTTGAATCTTAATAACAAGGCATATTTTAGTAGATTTTAAAAATAGTTATATTTAAAATTAAAAGCATTAATATTAGTTATTCTGATTGTAGATCATATATATATTTTCTTGCCAATTATGAAAATTTATTACAATCTAATATACTTCCTCAAAAATAATATGACAAAGAACATTTATATCAGTTACTCTCTCAATCAAAAATTCTAGTTAAATTTTCAAATCTCAAATATTTTGGAGTTGCATATTCAAATAACTTTTTATTTCTTGATATACACAAGATTTGCCAAAACCAAAATAAGTTAAAAATATTTAAATATTTTCAAATTATCAAAATACTTCTTTTTTAAAAACTTTAAAAAAAATTGATCTAAATATTGGTTTAATTACTTAATTTCATGATTTTTAAGAAAGAATTCCATTAGATCTACATCAATATCAAAAAAAATGAATCTCAAAAAATTCTTATTATTTAAGTTTAAGTATTATTGATGAGTAAATAAAATTATATCTCCATTTTATTATGATTAATAATTATAATCTGTTTTTGAATGTTTATTCAAAAAACTTCAAGACTTTTTCTAGAAACAGTAATAAAAAATCTTTTGAATTTTCTTTTTTCACAACAATAATTCTATTTTCTTCTTTATTACGCTTATTATTTTTTTCAAAAATCCTAAATATCTAAGTTATTCACTATTTGCATGTCTATATTGAAAAAAAAATTTCCTTAATCAAAGTTTAGAACAAAAAAGACTTAAAGTATTAATTAAATATTTTTTATATTAAGATTTTCCAAATTTCTATTTTTCCTTTCACCTTTAGTTTCTTCAATAAACTGTCTAAGTCTCCATCAGTTGCAAGTTCCATTATTTTATACAGCACTTTTCCTTTAAAACCCAAAAAAGAGTCTTCGTGTCGAATTATATAAGGAGATTTAATTAATGCCAATAAGAATTTAATTTAATGTATACTCTAGGATTTTATGATTATGTATATTGACTTTTTTCATAGCATAATATTACCCATCTAATTTCAGTTACATTTATATAACCATACCTTTTATACCATATAAACTGGAGAGTAAGAAGAATCCTCTCTTCGTTCTTTTATAATATTGAAATCTTAAATTTTACGATCTTAACCTTTTTAATACATAAATAAATAAATTAAAATAAACAAACTTTCATATATTTCTTTTAGAAAAAAATAAGTTATAGAGATTGAAATTTATCATTAAAAAAAAAATAAATATTTAGTTTTTTTAGTGATTGTANTTTTCAAATCTCAAATATTTTGGAGTTGCATATTCAAATAACTTTTTATTTCTTGATATACACAAGATTTGCCAAAACCAAAATAAGTTAAAAATATTTAAATATTTTCAAATTATCAAAATACTTCTTTTTTAAAAACTTTAAAAAAAATTGATCTAAATATTGGTTTAATTACTTAATTTCATGATTTTTAAGAAAGAATTCCATTAGATCTACATCAATATCAAAAAAAATGAATCTCAAAAAATTCTTATTATTTAAGTTTAAGTATTATTGATGAGTAAATAAAATTATATCTCCATTTTATTATGATTAATAATTATAATCTGTTTTTGAATGTTTATTCAAAAAACTTCAAGACTTTTTCTAGAAACAGTAATAAAAAATCTTTTGAATTTTCTTTTTTCACAACAATAATTCTATTTTCTTCTTTATTACGCTTATTATTTTTTTCAAAAATCCTAAATATCTAAGTTATTCACTATTTGCATGTCTATATTGAAAAAAAAATTTCCTTAATCAAAGTTTAGAACAAAAAAGACTTAAAGTATTAATTAAATATTTTTTATATTAAGATTTTCCAAATTTCTATTTTTCCTTTCACCTTTAGTTTCTTCAATAAACTGTCTAAGTCTCCATCAGTTGCAAGTTCCATTATTTTATACAGCACTTTTCCTTTAAAACCCAAAAAAGAGTCTTCGTGTCGAATTATATAAGGAGATTTAATTAATGCCAATAAGAATTTAATTTAATGTATACTCTAGGATTTTATGATTATGTATATTGACTTTTTTCATAGCATAATATTACCCATCTAATTTCAGTTACATTTATATAACCATACCTTTTATACCATATAAACTGGAGAGTAAGAAGAATCCTCTCTTCGTTCTTTTATAATATTGAAATCTTAAATTTTACGATCTTAACCTTTTTAATACATAAATAAATAAATTAAAATAAACAAACTTTCATATATTTCTTTTAGAAAAAAATAAGTTATAGAGATTGAAATTTATCATTAAAAAAAAAATAAATATTTAGTTTTTTTAGTGATTGTATAGTAATTTGTATATCTAATTATTTAATTTGATGTAGCAATCTATAATCATAATCATATTCATATAAAAATATGTAATAATTTATAAATATATTGCTATTTTATGATTCATTTCTTAAAATATTATTGATGTCATTAAAAAATATAAAAAGAGAGATTAAGAAAAGGATTACTTTTATTGATATATTATTATAAATCATGATTTTTCCTCTATCTAAATTCACAAGTATATTTTAAAAGATCGATTTCAAGAATCTTACAATATATAATTTAATTGTCTTGATACTCTTATAAAATTCTAGATGAAGTATTTGCGATTGAATGAGAATAGTTTTCTATAAATATATTAATTTATATATATAATCATTGTCTTTTCTATAGATTATCAATCAATTTAGGGTCTTGAAAGATTGGAACATGAAAATTAGAATTGATTAGATCAGGTGTTATTTCAACATCATAATTATCATTATTATTAGTGTTGTTTATTGAAGGTTATTAAATGGGATGAGGTTGATTAGGAGATTTCTATCTTTTTTATTATGCTTTCTATTGAAATCTATTATTTGAAATTCCAAGATTATTCATTTATAAAATTATCTTTGGAAAATATAATTATAATCTAATTCAATTAATGATTTGTGTAATATTTATATATAATTTGAATTAGTTTATTATATCATAATTTATATTTAAGTACTATAAATGGTAACTTTTATTATTTAAAATTTTAATTCTTTCAAATCATCATCTTCAAACTAAGTTTTTCAAACTAAGCTTGAAGATGATGATTTTAAAAAAATATTATAAACCTAATAGAAACTCTAAAAATCTTAGAATTCAAGAATATCAATCAGATAATAGGTTGGGATTACTCTGTTTTCAATAATAGGAGGATCTATCGGCTGACTGTTACAATAATCTAATTCATTTTTCATCTTAACTGTTCATTTTGTATTATGTTCAAGAAACAAATATTATAAGAATTGATTTTAAAAGCAATAAAAACATGTAAGATAAATTATATTATTTCATAATGAATTATTAATTTAGTTACAAGAAAAATATAAGCTAAATTAAGGAAATTGAAATTAATCATATAAATAAAGAAAAAAATGCTTGGGTTGAATTTTATACATATTTTATAGATTTAATTACTTTTAAATATCAAAATTACCTTGCAAAAATGTACTTTTAGCTTTCTTTATTGCTCTCTATAATTTATATTAATTTTAAATTATAGTCTGCTCTCTAAAATTTATATTAATTTTAAATTATAGTCTTTCCCCAGTACATTTGAAAAGTCTAATGATTTCAATCTTATTTCCTTATAATATTCTACTCAAATTCAGAACTATTATATTTCTTCTTTTATATTTCATCCATTCTTCTTTTTCAAAGTAAAATAGCCTCTTATATTTAAAGAATTAAGAGTATCTTGAATAATCTCTTGATATTAATATCTGCAAAATTCAAATGAATCCATTTTGCTACTAATATTGTATCATATTTTTCAACTACTTTTTATTATCAATAATGTTTTACTGTTTTTCATTTAATCTTTATCCAGATCTTCTATTTTATAAATAATATATTATTATTATATTGTTTAGATGCTAATATAATTATTAAAAATAACTAGGCTATTTAATATATATTTCAAAACTAATTGTAAATCTTCAATAATTGGTTAAAACTCTTATTTTTATATTTTCTTTTATTAATAATATAGTTGAACCATTTATTCAATTACTTTATTAATTAGTATGTAATTAATATCTATTCTCTAATTAATTTTGGGTAATTTCTTAGATTTTGAAATATCTTCCTTAAGTAAAATCAATAAAGTCAATATTCCATTATTGCAAAAATAAAATCCAGAATTTAGGNTGAAATCTTAAATTTTACGATCTTAACCTTTTTAATACATAAATAAATAAATTAAAATAAACAAACTTTCATATATTTCTTTTAGAAAAAAATAAGTTATAGAGATTGAAATTTATCATTAAAAAAAAAATAAATATTTAGTTTTTTTAGTGATTGTATAGTAATTTGTATATCTAATTATTTAATTTGATGTAGCAATCTATAATCATAATCATATTCATATAAAAATATGTAATAATTTATAAATATATTGCTATTTTATGATTCATTTCTTAAAATATTATTGATGTCATTAAAAAATATAAAAAGAGAGATTAAGAAAAGGATTACTTTTATTGATATATTATTATAAATCATGATTTTTCCTCTATCTAAATTCACAAGTATATTTTAAAAGATCGATTTCAAGAATCTTACAATATATAATTTAATTGTCTTGATACTCTTATAAAATTCTAGATGAAGTATTTGCGATTGAATGAGAATAGTTTTCTATAAATATATTAATTTATATATATAATCATTGTCTTTTCTATAGATTATCAATCAATTTAGGGTCTTGAAAGATTGGAACATGAAAATTAGAATTGATTAGATCAGGTGTTATTTCAACATCATAATTATCATTATTATTAGTGTTGTTTATTGAAGGTTATTAAATGGGATGAGGTTGATTAGGAGATTTCTATCTTTTTTATTATGCTTTCTATTGAAATCTATTATTTGAAATTCCAAGATTATTCATTTATAAAATTATCTTTGGAAAATATAATTATAATCTAATTCAATTAATGATTTGTGTAATATTTATATATAATTTGAATTAGTTTATTATATCATAATTTATATTTAAGTACTATAAATGGTAACTTTTATTATTTAAAATTTTAATTCTTTCAAATCATCATCTTCAAACTAAGTTTTTCAAACTAAGCTTGAAGATGATGATTTTAAAAAAATATTATAAACCTAATAGAAACTCTAAAAATCTTAGAATTCAAGAATATCAATCAGATAATAGGTTGGGATTACTCTGTTTTCAATAATAGGAGGATCTATCGGCTGACTGTTACAATAATCTAATTCATTTTTCATCTTAACTGTTCATTTTGTATTATGTTCAAGAAACAAATATTATAAGAATTGATTTTAAAAGCAATAAAAACATGTAAGATAAATTATATTATTTCATAATGAATTATTAATTTAGTTACAAGAAAAATATAAGCTAAATTAAGGAAATTGAAATTAATCATATAAATAAAGAAAAAAATGCTTGGGTTGAATTTTATACATATTTTATAGATTTAATTACTTTTAAATATCAAAATTACCTTGCAAAAATGTACTTTTAGCTTTCTTTATTGCTCTCTATAATTTATATTAATTTTAAATTATAGTCTGCTCTCTAAAATTTATATTAATTTTAAATTATAGTCTTTCCCCAGTACATTTGAAAAGTCTAATGATTTCAATCTTATTTCCTTATAATATTCTACTCAAATTCAGAACTATTATATTTCTTCTTTTATATTTCATCCATTCTTCTTTTTCAAAGTAAAATAGCCTCTTATATTTAAAGAATTAAGAGTATCTTGAATAATCTCTTGATATTAATATCTGCAAAATTCAAATGAATCCATTTTGCTACTAATATTGTATCATATTTTTCAACTACTTTTTATTATCAATAATGTTTTACTGTTTTTCATTTAATCTTTATCCAGATCTTCTATTTTATAAATAATATATTATTATTATATTGTTTAGATGCTAATATAATTATTAAAAATAACTAGGCTATTTAATATATATTTCAAAACTAATTGTAAATCTTCAATAATTGGTTAAAACTCTTATTTTTATATTTTCTTTTATTAATAATATAGTTGAACCATTTATTCAATTACTTTATTAATTAGTATGTAATTAATATCTATTCTCTAATTAATTTTGGGTAATTTCTTAGATTTTGAAATATCTTCCTTAAGTAAAATCAATAAAGTCAATATTCCATTATTGCAAAAATAAAATCCAGAATTTAGGTATCATAAAATTAACAAACTATTTAAAACAGTTAATCTGTGATCTTCCCACTTTTGTTAAAATCTTAATTGGTAATGATATTAAATAAATTTAATTAAATCAATAGGATTTATCAACAATATCATCGATAAAATTAGGATACTTCTTATCATCCTTTTCATTTTGTTGAATGTTCTTTGAAACTTATGTTTCTATTTAATAAAAACTTTCTAAATAATTCAATCATTTATGTTATTTATTAATAATAATATCAAATTAATTAGCAATTTGACTTCTTTGGTTTTTTAACTTAAACTTATTCTTACCTTTTTTTAATTAGGGTTTATATGGAATAAGTAAAAGCTTCTTTTAATCCTTCTTAGGTCATAGCACTAGCTTCTTTATAGTCGAATCCCATTTTCTTAATAGTTTATTCTGCAACGTTGAATTAAATGTGATTTGAATCTTTAGGGTCTCTTAAATCTTTTTTCAATCCTAATAACATGATTATTCCATTTTTTTAATATGCTTAAATTTCAGGGAGCCACTAAAATATCTAATTATTTTAGATTACCTTTTTTAAAGCATTTTCAAAACTTGCACTACTTATAATAGAAAAGCAAACAAGAAATATATCAGTTCCTTAATAACAGACTTACCTTAAATTTTCATAACCTTCTTATCCTGCTGTATCCCTATAAATTTTTATAAAAATTCTACCATAATGATAATTAATATTCTTCTCCATTAATTTAAATTTGGGTTAATGTATTATCAAAAATAGTAGGAACATATTCAGTTGGGAACTTATCATTTACATAACTATATAAAGCACAAGTTTTTCCGATTGCTCCATCACCAACGACAATTAACTTAATTTCTTTCTTATTTCCTTACATAATAAATTATTTAAAATAATAATAATATTGAGAATCAATAAAATAATTAAATACATTATCAACCCCACCATATTGGCTTAGGTGCTTCTATAAATTATTTTTGAGCATCTCTAATATTGTGTTATTTGTTAGCATACAGATTTTAAATTTAAGATGAAGAACTATTAATATAAGGAACAGCATTTTAATGAATGATGCTAATTTTTAAATTTTATTATTTTTCTAATAGTTTCTTTTATCTTATTCTTTCCATCTCTAATAATTGAACTGAATTAACAATAGATTTTGATCTTTCTTCATGTAATGAATTCTATTATATTTATTATTATTATTGATATCTATCACTCTTTAAAGGTGGAACAGAACAATTAGGTCTAATTTCTTTAGTATGATTTATTTATGGTAAGAATGAACTATTAGCTTAACTTTCATCATAAGATTTATTAACACTTTCAATAAAGTATTTAGATTTAGGTAATTTCTCTTTTAATTACTTTAAATTTTTTGGTAATTTTATAGTTTATAATAGAATATTAGAACCAGCATGAGATGATTATGTTTATTATGAAACTCTACTTTCTATAATGAATTATCTAGCATTCCTTAATAAAATAGGATTATTAAGTAATTAAGCACATGTAGGTCTTTATTTGCTTTGTANTTATTCTGCAACGTTGAATTAAATGTGATTTGAATCTTTAGGGTCTCTTAAATCTTTTTTCAATCCTAATAACATGATTATTCCATTTTTTTAATATGCTTAAATTTCAGGGAGCCACTAAAATATCTAATTATTTTAGATTACCTTTTTTAAAGCATTTTCAAAACTTGCACTACTTATAATAGAAAAGCAAACAAGAAATATATCAGTTCCTTAATAACAGACTTACCTTAAATTTTCATAACCTTCTTATCCTGCTGTATCCCTATAAATTTTTATAAAAATTCTACCATAATGATAATTAATATTCTTCTCCATTAATTTAAATTTGGGTTAATGTATTATCAAAAATAGTAGGAACATATTCAGTTGGGAACTTATCATTTACATAACTATATAAAGCACAAGTTTTTCCGATTGCTCCATCACCAACGACAATTAACTTAATTTCTTTCTTATTTCCTTACATAATAAATTATTTAAAATAATAATAATATTGAGAATCAATAAAATAATTAAATACATTATCAACCCCACCATATTGGCTTAGGTGCTTCTATAAATTATTTTTGAGCATCTCTAATATTGTGTTATTTGTTAGCATACAGATTTTAAATTTAAGATGAAGAACTATTAATATAAGGAACAGCATTTTAATGAATGATGCTAATTTTTAAATTTTATTATTTTTCTAATAGTTTCTTTTATCTTATTCTTTCCATCTCTAATAATTGAACTGAATTAACAATAGATTTTGATCTTTCTTCATGTAATGAATTCTATTATATTTATTATTATTATTGATATCTATCACTCTTTAAAGGTGGAACAGAACAATTAGGTCTAATTTCTTTAGTATGATTTATTTATGGTAAGAATGAACTATTAGCTTAACTTTCATCATAAGATTTATTAACACTTTCAATAAAGTATTTAGATTTAGGTAATTTCTCTTTTAATTACTTTAAATTTTTTGGTAATTTTATAGTTTATAATAGAATATTAGAACCAGCATGAGATGATTATGTTTATTATGAAACTCTACTTTCTATAATGAATTATCTAGCATTCCTTAATAAAATAGGATTATTAAGTAATTAAGCACATGTAGGTCTTTATTTGCTTTGTACTTATAAACATAGACCAATAACAGTCATTAATTCACCACTAAATTTAGATGGTATTCGTTCATATAATCCTCTTTATACTTTTTTATATAATCCTTCCATATTTTAAGCTCTAAAAGGAGGTTTAAGTGCAGCCATTTCATATGCCACACATCCTAAACTCCATATGTCGCTTTTAGCATCATATGGCTAATCTCTCCATACTTCAGGACTTGCATAATATGGAGTTCCTGTTTAAGTATAAACCAAATCCTTTTTAGCTACCTTTGATACATTCATATCTCCTAATTTATAATTTCCTTAGTGAAGAAATACATTTGCAGATTTCAAATCTCTATGCAATATTTTCATTTAATGTAACGTTCTTAATGCTATTAAATAAATCTACTTATTACCAATAGTCATTTAATATATCATTTTCCATATCTCTATTTCTTAAATTAATTACTTCTTATGTATATGTTATTATATCTATTATTATAAATCACCTTAATCAGCATACTCCATCACTACACATAAACTTTAAGATTATTCATCATAAAATGCTTCCTTATAACCTATTATATTCGGATGTGAAATGCTTGCCAATATACGAATCTCGTTAAGTGAATTCTCTTTCTCTTTCTCCTTTAATTATCCCATCCTTACTTTTTTCATTGCATATTCTTATTAATCAGATTACCTTTTTACTCTTAACACTGTTGAGAATGAACCTAAAATTAATCACATTTATCAAAATTATAATACCTTCTCCCAACTTCTCAAAAACAGTAAAGTTTTTCATTATAATTATATTAACTAATAAAAATCCTTTCTCTATATTATAAATAATAATAAATATCTCAGAAATCAATTTTTTATCGAAATTAAACCTTTAATATCACTTTACCCAATTAATTTATCACTTTAGACAATATTCATAAAACATTTTCTTCCTTTTAATTTTAATAACCTATATTATACTTGTAGAATTTCAACTCTATTTAATTAAAATGAAAAGTATTACATTTTCCTATTTAAATTATTATATCAATTCTAAACTACTCATCTATTCATTTTACTTTTTAAGATTTATTTTCATTTTTTCCATTTAAAATTTTATTAAAATATTGTTTAACTATACTTTATATGAAATTAATTATAAAAAATATAAATAATGTAGAAGGTCAGTTGGTTATAGATGATGTTTTAAATAGTTATTTAAATAAGCTAATAACATTATTAAATACAAGATGAACAATATACAAGTTGAATTCATAAAGCAATTCTATTCTCAACCAAAATTTCCATGATTTATCATCAACATTTTATTAAACTTGGCTCCAATTAAAAATCTTATTCTTAAATATTTCCTTATTGATTGATTCTTGATTATATATAATTTTATATAAGAACGTTACCTAATCTCATACATAAAAGATTATTTATATGTAAGTTTTATGAAATTTCAATAAAAATTGTATTAAGAAAATTAAGATCACAAAAACTAAACATTAAAATACACATTTTATCAAATTGATACTGAAATAGCAGTTTTAGGGGAATTTTATTATAATATTTAATTTATTAAATTTTTATTCAATAATTTACTCAAAAATTGAATGTAAGTAATCAAATAGTCACAGAAATTTGATATTCTCCTACTTTGGTAAAAAAATATAGCGAAAAAAACTAGAAAAAGAGAATTTGTTCATTGAAGGAGAAAGTTTAAAAAATAATTCAAAATGAATAAAAGTTTTTAAATTATGCAAAATTTTATTATATCACTTGAATTTTATATAAATGGGAAATGGTTTTGAAAAGAACCAACACTAAAATATTTATTTACCAATATTATTTTGTAATTTGGATTGATTTAGATTACTCTAATTGATATTATAGTTTAGTAGAAAAAGATATATAAAAAGTCTCAAGAGTAAAACAGATAAATTTAACAAATTCATTATCTAAGAATTAATTTTAGCCATTCTCTTTTTATTTAGTCTCTATCAATTTGGAGTATAAATCTTGTATTTTTTTTTGAATTTAATCAAGATTGTTTTAATTTTAAGATCTAAAGAGATAATTTAGTTTTTTTTACAATTAATTTGAATACTAATATTTGTTATATTCATAGTGATTGTGATTGAGTTGATTATAATAGTTTTCTAAATTTTGAGTTTTTAAGGAATATTACAAGGTTTATTAATAGAGAGAAAATGAGATTTATTTAATTTGTTTAGATAGGGTATTTAATAAGATTTAGTTATAATAACTAAATATTTGTTTGATGTGAATTGAATTATTGATTATTGAAATATATAAAGGGAATTATATAAATATAAAAAGATAAATTAAATTAATTTGAGAGTAAAAAAATAAAATAATTGAGGCAATAATGTCAATTATGATGATTCTTAAATTAAGATTAAATTTGATAGTATTTCTAGCTTCGTTTATCTCCTATAAATGAGATAATAATACGAAAACAAATACTATTATAAGTTTATTGTAATATATATATAAAATGTTATTATGTATGATAAGAAATTCTTGATATGAAAAAAAAGAGAATTGTAAGGAATCATAGATGTAGGGTTTGAGAATAGAGGGAGAAAATGATAGATGATGAAAGAGAAGAAGATAAGGAATTTAGAGGTGAAAATCTGAATAAACAGATGGATGATATTAAATGATTCAGAATACTAATAAAATCTTGGAATATATATTTAATTTAAATATCAAAGTAATGCCATAGAACGATTCAGAAGTAACAAAATCGTAAAGCGATATGCAGGAGAGTTCCAAAAAGATTTAAAAGAAAGCAGGTCATTGGAATAAAGAGGAACATGAATCATATCTTCGTTTTTTAGAAGAGAATGCGAATCATAGCAAAGGTCACAGATTATTTAAAAGGATGAGTTAGATAATAGGAACAAGAACACCTAGTTAGTGTAGGTGAGAATTTGTAATAATTGAATAGATCTCATCATTAAAAATTCAATCCACTGAAACCTATAATAAAGATAACATAAACAAGATTATTAAAAACGAAATAATTGGTTAGAGAATATATGTAAAAACATAAAATAAGAGATGAAGAAGAAGAATGAAAGGATATTTTATTATGTAAATATGAATACATTTTTGTTTGATTGACATAATTTTAAAATTTAAATAAAAAATGAGTAATTCTTTGATGGGTAATATGTTGGTTGAATCTGTGATGGAGAAAGCCATAAAAGATAAGATGAAAGAATAGTAAGCAAAGTAATAGGAAGAAGAGAGAAGAAGAGCAGCAAGAAGATAATATGAAGAAGAAGATGAGGATGATTGTGATGATGAAGATTTAAAAGAGATGTTAAAGAAAATGAGAGAACAAAGAGCAAAAGAATTATAAGAGGCAATGCTGAAAAAGAATAAAGGATTTGGAGAATATAGAGAAATTGTTGAAGAAGAATTCTTACCATCTGTTACTAAATCTGAATTTAGTGTTGTTCATTTCTTTCATCGTGATTTTGAAAGATGCAAAATTATGGATAAACATCTATTAGCTATATCATAATAGTAAACTGTTTTAGTAATTTTAATAGACATCCTGAAACTAAATTTTATAGTTTGAATGCTGAAAAGTCACCATTCTTTGTTAATAAGTTATAAATATAAGTTCTACCTACAGTTTGCTTATTTGTAAATGGAGTCTTGAAAAACAGAATTGTAGGATTTGAAGAGATGGGAGGTAGAGATACTTTTGAAACAGGTACTTTGGCACATATGTAATTTATAAAAGAAATAATTTATTTAGATTATTAAGATATGGTATGATTAAAGTAAGAAAAGGTAGTAATGATGAGAATTCCTCAGATGAAGATAAATGATATTTGAATTATTAAATTAATTAAATGAGTGATCAATCTTAATACTTGAATAAAAGTGTTAAAGTGATTTGCTCAGACAACAGAATTATTTATGGAGTACTATCATGTATCTCATCACCTTTTTCTATCATACTCTAACACTCTGTTTGTACTCATCCTTCTCCATTAGATTTGGATATTGAATTTCATTATACTCCATAATTTCCAGCTAAATATTTTACAAATGATTTATCTATTAAAGAAGCTTATACTAATTTCAATAAACATACAGAAGAACATAATAAATTAGAATTATAATAAAAAGTTGATGAAGCCAAATAATTTAATGATCTTTTCATGAAAGATAAATATTATCTCGGCAGTGTTGTTATACCTGGAGAACATATACAAAATGTTATATTAATCTAATGAGATAAAATTATTATTTTAAGCTAAATAAATTTATATTATTTATAATGCTAAATTTAATTCCATCTCAGGAATATAAACCCTATAAAAATACATCAAGTAATGCTTAATCAGCTGTTTGCATACTTTTAAGAGGACTATTCAAACCTAAATAAGGATTTACTTAACTTGATATCAATAATCCTTAATCCACTAAATTTCAAGATTAACAAGATATTTAAATTCTCTATATCTAAAGATAAAATTCAAAACAAGATTAATATAGTGGTGAAATTGCTTTTCCTGGAGGTAAATGTGATGGAGATGAAACTGATTTATAAGCTGCAATAAGAGAAGTACATGAAGAAGTGGGAATAAATTTAAATGAATTAGAATGCTATTATGTATGTCGACTCTCTAAGAATGCTTTTATGAAGAAGACCAGAAATAATAAATACTTATATTGCAGTGCTTTTATAATAGCTATAAATGATCCTGAGAGAAGGACTGATAAGATGAGATTGTCATAAAATGAAGTATAAGAGGCAAAATGGATAGAGCTTAGTTATTTTGATAATCCAATTAAGAAAACAAAAAAGAGTCAGCATTATTTTGGACCTAGATCAATAGCAAAATATTTTAAGCAGGCAGAGACAGCTGCATTAGATATTGGATTTGATGAAGTATTGTATGGATTTACATTTTTTGTGACTATGGCATTTTTGTATTAAATATAAAAACATTAGAAGGTATGGGAACATGCTCATTTTGCAAAGTTTACTTTTACAGGACCATTAAAGTATGCTTTAGAATATGGAGCAATGATAGCATATAAGAAAGAGAGAATTGGTTTATTTGAGAGATGGGAATGGCCAATTTATACATACTTAATACCATTACTAATATTGATATTATTGATTTGATATATATTTTTAATGAAATTAAGTCATCAATCTTCTTTTTCTTTGTTTTTTATATTTTTGAATGAATAAGCTTTAAACAGATATCCATCAGCTTTATAAAATTTGCTTTAGAATTCAACCCTAGTTAATCAAAAAATTAAATACCATTGCAATCGAAGAGCATGTAAGAAACATTCCATAAGATCCATACACATTAAGACTCCGAAAGTGGCTAGAGCAAATCCTGGGAATTATACAATTGACTATAAACATAAAATTGATTATATTACTCCAATTGTTCCAAAGAATCCTCCTTGACCTACATGGCCTGCGATAGTCATGGAAAAGAATACTTCAGCCAATTATGAATGAGCTAAGGATAATGCCCATAATCTTAAATAAGAGGCTGTATTACTAACACTTCCCAATACAAATTCGATTGTTTCAATAGCTATAAATATTAAATAATATTCGTACATTAATGAACAATCAATTCACTGATATCATCATGTTCATGATGTTATTAAATACTTACTCTACTTTATTATTATGATTAATCTTTTTGCATATCATTTTGTAATTATTCATGATTAGCATCATCATCAGGGTTCTGTGATGGTATCTATTGATACTAATTATTCTTTTTGCTTAAACTAAAAATTAATGGTTTAGTAATCAACATAACTGGTACACAAAATATTATGATAGTCAATAATAGAAGTTAAATTGATCTCTACTACTCACCCGATTCAAACAAAGGTTTTTCAGGGATATCAAAGGGTTTAAGTACCATATCTATCATAGTTGTTATAACACTTGGAGCATCCTTAGTATCTTCAAATTTAGTGCTCCATTTTAAAAATAATAAGAAATCCATATAACCAAAGCTGCAAATCATCAAAAGAAATTACGGAATGAATTCACAAAAGAAATCAATGTAATTATTAAAGTGTAATGTATTAAAGCCTTTCAAAATAATACCAAAGGTCATATGTATAACTCCAATGATTACTGCTAGTTTCATTTTAAATGAGTTCATAAATGTTAATTGATTTGCAGATGAACCCCATGCTGGATCAATACCAAACTTATACACACAATCTTATTATAATTGATATTCTCCATCAACCAATTAGTAACAGCTTCCAAATAAATTTAAACCCATAGAAAGAAAATCATTATAAATTAGTCCATTATATGTTGCAAAGAATCCAATTAATAGAATCATATATCTCATAGGTACTAATCCTGCAAAGACAGATTTTCTTGCATCTTCACTTGTCAAATACAATCCACAAACAAATAATAACAAACTCTTAATAAATTAATAAATTATACCCATGACCAACATCACCAAACATAACACCAACTAAGAATGGGAATGTTATTATTGTTGATAATCCTGGATTAATCTCCTTATATCTAGGAATTCCATATGTGTTAACAATTTCTTAAAATGGATATGTAAATGTATTTAATTTATAATAAGTAGGAGGAGTTAATTAAGTTTAGCATTCCTATATTTAACCACTAGGTAATTATTTATCATTACCATGTAAGTTTCGTAGAGCTTATTAAATTTTTTAATCTTAACCTTAAGGTAACCATATTTATCCATGGAATACAGAGTTTGTCATATTTAACATATTTAAATTCATGTACAAGTATTTTTCTTTGGTTGCTAAAATTCTCACTTCTTCAATCCATGAACAATTATGTTTGACTTCTGCTAAACCCTACAGTCTCTTGTTCATTTAAGCTATAGTCAAATGTAATAATTAATCTGCTTCAGTTAATTAATTTTCCAATTAATTAATTCGTTAAGCATGTTATTCTGGTGATATTGGAATATCAAATCTGTTACATGAAAATGATTCAATCACTCTCTAAATTTTCTTTTAAGTTAAATCTCCACAAGGATAAAATAACATAAATACACATTTTTAAACAGTTCTTTTATCCTATTATATAAAATGCTCTTAAATATCCATCATCTCAACATGAATATTACCCTTTGTTATCCTAAATATTATCCTTTTAAATCTTAATTCATCTTCCTTTTATATTACTCCAACCATCTTTTAAAATCCTAATAAACTTGCCTCTTCTGAATCCTCATTCTAAAATGCTACTGCATTTCTTAACACTTCCAAATTCTCTCTTATTGTATTTTTCTTCTCTTATAAACTATTCAATGTCTATTATTGATGTTCCAAATCATCTGCCACTTTACATACCTCCTACTCTAATTCCTCAAATTATTTATGACCTCCATTTCTCTTCTCCAATAAATCTATTACATCTGGACAATAAATCTTATCTATCTTAAAATTACTCATCTCTCCATCTATCTATCCAATCTTCTAAAGTACATCATCACATCTTTAATCTCTAAATGTAATACCTCTTCACATAATTTGAAAATGGCCTATTTATCTAAGGTAATGTTGAATCATAATCAATTATGTGAACGCTATCAAAATATCCTAATGTGTTCATTACATCCCATGCTGACTCACGAGGAATCACCAAATTATAGAATTCCATCTATTCTGATCTAAATAAGCTCATTATAGATTATTTATATTATATTTAATACCAAAACGACTCAATATTTTATGAATTAACAGAAGTTTATACTTTAATTATTATTAAATCTCTATATATTATTCTTTATGTATTAATTTAAACCAAGAGAATCTAGAAATTTCATCCAAAAACCTATCTCTAGAAAATTTTGCTTCTTTGAAATCAAATCCAATTGGAGTATTCTTAATCAAATTATGATTTCCCTCTTCCTACTCACTTTCATAACACTATTATTTGTTACTTCATAAGTCATCATTGGTCTATATGTCAGCAAACATTTTTTCAATTTATTTGCTACTAATGCTATCAATAATTATACAGAAACTATGTACGAATTTCAAGCACATTTATTGCAGAATACTGTTTAAAATTAATCATCTTTCGATTCTAATCTAGTTAGAACATATCCTATTGTCAATAATTAATCTATTAAAGAAGTCTTTTCATTTGTAACCATCACCCTTTTATTAATAGGTTCTTAAAATGCAATAAAATGATACTACATTCTCTAAATGTGATAATTTTACCTGCTATCTAGCTGGAGATTATTCAAATAATACAAACTCATATGTAGTTGTAACAAATCATCCTTTATCAAGATTTATATGGACGAAATTGAAATCTATAATTAAGCAAATGAAATTTAAATATCATCAGATATTGAATTCAATGAAAATCTACTCTATACTATATATTTGATTAGTGGCTCTTTCTTGTTAATATTACTACTTGGATGGATATTTGCTTATTATATTGTGCGTCCCCTTAAAAAATTAGCACAATATGCATAACACATCAATTAAAATACCACAAGGTTATCAACTGGCAAAAGAAGCAAATAAAAACCTATTGAATTAAAAGATATCACAGCACAAGATAAAATAGGAGAGTTAGTTGATGAATTCAAAAATCTAATTTAAGGATTGGCTGGATTGAAGAAAGGAAATGTAAATTTTTTTATTATTGTAAGATATAAAAAAAATCCCAAGAAATTAAACCTTTTTTGGTAGGATATGAAAATTAAAATTAAGATTAATTTAAAGAACTTTTAGATGATATAAATAAATTTGAAGAAGAAAAATAGATTGGAATATTTAATATGCAATTATGATTAATTTTGAATAATTATATTAGAATATTGTTCATTTAATAAATTACTTATAAATATCCTCATAGTGTTTATCAAACACATTCTTAATTCTTTAAGATGTATTTGTCGTTGATTATTATAAAGATCTTGGAATATTAAATAATTAAGGACAACCTTTAATATTTCTATCTTGATATTTGTATTTCAATTCATTTCCTATTTTAGCATTAAACTACGATCCAACAGTTAAATAAATAATTTAGAATGAATAATGAAACTTCAAAACCTTAAAGGATTAATGTAATTATTAATAATCAGTAAACCCATCAGTAACTAAGCAAATTCTATTTCTTTTATTTTATAAATCGTATTCCTTGTCAAGTTATTTAAATAATTCTAATAATTTTTCATATTATTATTATTATTATTATTATTATTATTATTATTATTATTATTATTATTATTATTACAAATGTTGTTAAAACTTACCATTTCTCCAAGTTAATACAATTTTTTTATCTTAAGAAATTTTTTCAAATTATAGATAAAATTATTCGATAGCTATTTCTGATTCATTTTTCATGCAATCATTTGTATCAACAATAAGAATAAAAGCTTTTTCTGCTTCTTCACATTCTAATCCTTCTTTTACTAGTAATTATAATTCTCTAGGTAAGTATTAATAATCATCATTACTTTAAAATAATACATTCGATGTATTTGTTGATAAAACTTATTTTGATTAATTTTCATACTATTTGACAGTTGAAGCAAAGTTTTCAAAAGTTATTTATTATTTAATCAATTAGTTTATTAATTAGAATAAAGAATTCATTTATTTAAATGTTACAATTTATTCATCTGACTCAACTTTAAAATCAGAATCAGAAAAAACTTTACTTAATGATGAATGAGTTATTTCAAGGAATTCTTAAAAAATTTGAATAGGATCTGATTAATTATTTTATTAAATATAAGCTAAATGATTTTTTAAGGTTTCCTTCATTACCATTTCTGTTTGATCAAGTAAACTTAAGGCCTTATTTTTAATTTTATTTCCTTTTACAAAACAACCTTTTCCAATTTATTAATATTTTTCAGCAATTCTCTTCTTCATTGTTTCAGGCTTTAATTTTTTATCATTTTTAACCTCAGCAATATTTGTAATTACTATATCCTAAATAGAAACAGCATTTGAATAAATTGCTTATTATAAGTTTGTTAATTGAACATCAGTCATTCCATTTAAAGGCAAGTTTCCATCAGCTATCTCTTCTATCAATTCAAAAGTCTCTAATATTTTATTTGATTATTCTTCTGTTTCTTCTTTTACTTTTATTTATTAAATGATAACTTAACTAGCTTCTGAAATTAATTTAAAGTCTTCTTAAGCATTCGCTCCTTTATTTAAAGCAGTCTTAATTATAGCTTCCTAAACAGAACTTTTGATAAAAGTATTAATTTCTGTATCTGTTTCACTTGGCTTTAAGATAATTCCATTTGCAATAACATCTTCTTATTTATTTGTTACACAAAAACAACTACCAGCAATAACAGTATCTGTTTGATTTGAAACAAGAGTTTATTAAATTTTTTAATTTAATATCACTGTACTATCTTATACTTTTATTTATAATTTAATTTCATTAAATCTATCTTTGAATTCTTAATAAATTTCATTTGGTGCCCTTCTAGAATTTCTTTCTACTTTAAAAAGAGATTAGAAACTTGGATCATGATTGTGAATTTAATTTCTTAAAGTATTACTAATTTCTAATGGAAAAGAATCACCAACAGCTAAACTTATGAATTAGATTAAAAATTTTTATTTCATCTAATTAATCTAAACTTAAAGTTTTGTTAGATCAAAACTTTCCCTTCCATCACTTAAAAATAATATTGTAATATTTTTTGGAAGTTAATGTTAATCACTTAAAAGTATACTAAAGACATCTCTAAATGTGTTAGTGATGTTTCCTCCTTTTCCATTTACTCCTACATAAGGTAATATTGGATAGAGTTCACTTTAGAATTAATATTCAAGCTTATTATTACCAAGCTAACCAAACACATCAAAATAAGCATTCACTGCTTATTCGTATTCATCTTCCATTGATCCAGTACCATCAAATATGCTGATTAAGAATGAATCGACAATTTTCGATTCAGGAGCTTTATATATTTCAAAATTCATATTTTATATATTCAAAGAAAATTTCTTTACTCTTAATTCCTTTTTGTAATTCTATCATTTTGTTTTTTTTAATTTTTTAAAAAATTTTCAGATATAATGATTAAATATATATAAAAAGATAAGTATACTTCATCAATTAATTTATATTAGCTTTTGTATGAATAAATTATGAAAAATAGCCATCATCATTAAAAATATAGATATAAAGATATAACTTAATTTAATTAAGTTTCATTTTTGAATAAATATTAAATGAATCAATTTTAAAAACATTGGTTTCTTGATAATAACAAATAAAGAAAATAGAAATGATTTAATGCGGTTGTTTTAATTGCTTTTTATTTATATAATTAATCTTAAATGATTTAAATTAGAGAGTATCTTTGTAAAGTATCTGATGGAAATGAGAATGAAACACCAGTATATCGACATCCCAATTCTAAAGTATTAATTTTAGTTTATACAGGATGGTTTTCCATAGTCAAAAATTAGCTTTTAATAGGAATTTATAGAGAAGCTATAAAAATATCCAAATAAGAAAACCCTTGGCTTATTTAATGAAGAATCCCAACAATATGATTAAATAACCTACAAGGTAATGAAATATTTTTGATAAATAGGAAATATTTGACACTGCAACCGCCATAGGTTCTGAACTATATTCCAGAAATTCAATAGTAGATGTAAAGGATGAATAAGGAAATACAATTAAGCCTATTGGAATATACATGTCTAACAGAAGAGAATGGACTATTCTTGACGTAGCATGCATTCTTTATGGTTTTACATCCTGTCCATTTTATGATACACTTGGATTAAATAGTATCTAATATTCCTTAGAATAAACATAAGCAAGGTACATATAAACATATATAAGATTAGTGTTTGTTTTGTCTAATCAAGTACTATTAAGGTTTTGATTGATGTCAATTAGCCCAACCTAAAAACTATAGTAATAGTAGGAGAAGGCTTCAATGATGAAGATTTAGAAAAACTTAGGACATAAGGCAAAGAAATTATAACATGGGTTTAAATGTTAGAAAAAGGAAAAAATAATATAATTCAATTTCCAAACTTACAACCAGAGATTTCAATGACTTTAATTTTTACAAGTGGAACAACAGGTCAACCAAAAGCCGCCTTATAAACCTAGTTAAATTTTTAAAGCATGATGCTTATTGTTGAATATCACTATAATGCCAAATTTACAGAAAACGATGTTTATTTATCATATTTACCTTTACCACATATATTTGAAAGAGTAATTCATTTAGCTGCTTTATTAGCAGGATCAGAAATTAATTATTATAGTGGAAATATACTTAATTTAGCTAGAGATATATAAAGATGTAAACCAACTTATTTTTGTGGAGTACCTAGAATTTTTAATAGATTTTATGATGGAATATAAACTGTTGTTAATTCATTACCACCAGAAATAAAAGAGAAATTTGAAAAAGCTTTTGAAATGAAATTAAAATATTTTTAATAAACTGGAAAAACTACTCATGAACAATTAGATGAGGCGTTTATAAAAACAAAAGGAATTTTAGGTGGAAGATAAAGAATAATTCTTACTGGATCAGCTCCTATATCAACAAAAGTATTAAACTTTTTAAAAATGACTTTATGTTGTTAATTTTTTGAAGTATATGGATAAACTGAGACAATGGGAGGATCTTTTGTAACAGATTATTTTGATCCAACATGTGGTCATGTAGGCGGTCCATCAATATCTTAAGAATTCAAATTAGTTAGCATACCAGAGATGGGATATTTTACAGATTCAAATATAGATGGACATGTAAGAGGAGAGATTTGTATTAGAGGACCAAGTATTAGTAAAGGATACTTTAAAAATGAAGAATAAACTAAATAATTAATTGATACAGAAGGATGGGTTCATACTGGAGATGTAGGTGAAATTATTTAAGGAACTCTTAAAATTATAGATAGGAAAAAGAATTTATTTAAATTATCATAGGGTGAATATGTATCTCCAGAAAAAGTAGAGAATTGTTACATAAGAATGAAAGGAATCATGGAAATAATCATTTTTGGAGATCCATTATAAAACTATTGTGTTGCTGTTGCTGTTGTTGATCCAACTATTTTAAAATTATATGCTGATTAATTAAAAATTTAAGGCGATCATTCAACTTTATGTGCAGATAAACAATTAAGATAACACATTCTGACTTTATTAAATGAACATGTATATCATTTAATTTATTTAGGGATCTAAAGAATAATTAAATGGATTTGAACAAGCCAAAAATATTTATCTTGAATCAAAACCATTTTAATAAGTTGGAATCTTAACAGATACTCTAAAGATGCAAAGACATGTAGCTAAAATACATTATCAAGCAATTATTTAACAATTATACGATGAAATTGCAAAATGATATAACATTAAAAATATATCAATATTTAATCCTTCCGATTATTTTTTCAGACTATTATAATTATTTTTGTTCATAAAGAAACTAGCTTAGGATATAATTCAAAAATTTTTCAATATTTTAATTTTAAAGTTTTATTTTTTAAAATCAAACTAGAATTACATTGTTATAATTTTATCATAATATTTTTTGAAATATCCCCCAATTTTAAACTGATCATTAAATGGAATAACTATAATCAAATAATGGTCCAAGAAAATTTTATTTTAAATAAATTACATAAAAAATAAATGTATGTACATTAAAGCTTGTTTATCTTAGAATTACTGATTAATTAGATTTATAAAAATATTCAAGTATTTTAAAGAAATTGGGAATACTAAAAGAAATTTAAAAAAAAAAACTATTATATTTAATAAATTAGAATTTTTGACTTTTTTCATTTTGAATAATGATTGAAATTGGGCTAATGATAATGAATTTTTTTTTTAAATAATTTTTTGGGTTTGATATGGAAATAGACAGCCAAAAAATAATGAAAAGAATAAGAAATCTTATCTCAAAGTTTAAAATTATAGTAAGGATATTTATCATTTTTGAAAGTATAAATTGCTTGTATTACATTAATTCCATTATATAAAAGAATTGGAAGGAAAGTATATTAAAGGTTCTATCCTAATTTAAAATCTTTTGGGATAAGAAAAAGTGCCATATTATCTTTAAAAATCGTAAATACTTGAACTAATCGATAAAGTTCCATTTAATATATGACTAAAAAAGGATTTTATGGATTGGGATTTTAAAGCCTAACTATATAATTTGGAGAATTTCTGAATAAATAATATAAATTATTTAAGAATAATAAAATAATGGATGTTATTCTTGGTTACGTGGATGAATTTCGTCATATGAAATTTAGAAAGGTATAATGAGAAGTGATTAACATACAGATAATATTGCAAATAGTTTCATTAGCAATAGTTGTAGGATCAGCATTGTCAATATGGAAAAGCTTATAAGTCGTGTCATTATCAGAGTCTCCAGTTGTCGTTGTATTATCTGGATCAATGGAGCCTGCTTATTATAGAGGTGATATTTTGTTTTTGACCTACTTCAATAAGCCATTTGAGGTAGGAGATGTGATAGTATACAAAATTAAAGATCAAGACATACCAATAGTCCATAGAGTATTGCAAATATAATAAAAGTAATAATGGAAATAATATTGTGAATAGGAGTGATGATCCATTAGATTAGTTAGTATTGACAAAAGGTGATAACAATTAAGTAGATGATCGAGCTTTGTTTCCAAAAAGATAGATGTGGTTAGAAAGATCAGATATAATGGGAAAGATAGAAGGGTATAAATAGTTTAGTATTTTAAAATTTAGAGTTTTACCATATGTTGGTTATATCACAATATTGTTAAATGATTATCCTTCATTGAAATTTGTAATGATTGGTTTAATGAGTTTATTTGTACTAACAGCCAAAGATCCACAGAGTTGAGTATTAATTAATAAAAATAATTGAGTAAATGTAAAAAGTGTAAAAACGATTATTATTATTTTAATCATTGAAATGTATAAGTGCCTTGTTCTTTGTGCTTTATTAATAGCAACTTAAGCTGGACATGTAAGAAAGTCTCATGGAGCAGTTCATTAGAAGAGAGTGTTCAATAGTGCGTTCATGGAATTTGTTAACCTTGGAGATTCAGATTATCATATCAATAAAAAGGATGCTTGTACGATGTCATCACTTAAATAGAACATTGGGCATAAATTACCTCAGATGAGATTGAACATTAATCAAAAGGAAAGAAGAAACATGCATCTTTAGTCCAAACCAATGAACAATACGTCCCTGGAGTTGTAGGTGAAGTTATTGATTTATCCAATAATGCTGGAGTATATTCTTACACTGTTACTGATTTGAATGGAAACATCCTAGAATAAGATGCAGGTGATCATTTACCTAAGTAATTCTATAATGCCTATTTACAAATGACCTAAGAAATGGAAAAGGGTCCAGCCATGATCAAATTATAAACTGATTTAGATAATATTATAAGAGAAGATCAATTAGAGTAAGAAAGTAAGCAGGAATTATAAGCTTAAGCTCTTGAAGGAACCACTCTTTCAGAACAAGATCAATGATTAACATATCAACATCATAATATCTAACATTTATCATTATCAAATTCTCTTTTTATGTTATCTTTTCTAATCAAAATTAAATGTATAAATATTACAATTATTATAATAAATGAAGCCAGCATCCAAAGTCTTTGAATACTTGAATAAATATAATTACTATCTTCCTCAAGATTTAGAAAATGTTTAATAATAGTAAATATCATTTATTTTTCTAGTTTCTATGGTCAAATGGTTTAACATTTATAATTAGCAGATAGCTTTAAAAATTCTTTCATTAGTCAAATAGCATAAATTAATCAAAAAGCATAAAAAGAATCAGAATTTAGATAATTAATACGTGATACTTGGCTTGGATTCATTAATAAAATACCAATTACTTCCATTTGTTAAATGTCTAACCAATAAGAAGTTAAGGATATTTAAGATTTCATTTTGAAAGTGTTATTGGAGCCTAATACATTTGATACTGTTTATGTCTAAGAGTTATTAGTGAATTATGAAAACTATATTTAGTCTGTATTAAAATGATTATAATTTAGAATAAAGGCTTAGTTTAAGTAGTTGTAAGAAATAGATTTAGAATGACAATAAGCAAATTGATTTGTAGTAGATTCATAAAATCATTGGATGAAAAATATTAATAAAATTTTCATTAATTTTTGTTTGAAACATATCTTAAAAAGATAGAAAAATTAGATCAAACTATAATCATTCAAACTGAATTGTTAACTGAATAAAATTTCTATTAAAAGATGTTTGAGTTTTTATTTGATTAATAAGAAGTATAGGGAGCATTTTTTCATTTAATAAAGAATGTGATTCAGTTGATAGTTCGTGATATCAATATAATAGGTTATTCATTAGGGATTTTTAAATAATTCCATTAACTTTATATAGAAAAGGATAAGATTTTATTTGAAAAATTTGATCATCGATCGAATCTAGATTAAAATAAATTAGCATCTGAAATATTATAAAGATATAAAGAACATGAAGATTTAAGAGATGCAATAAGATAAATAGCTCATAAGATTAATTAGACTTAAAATTTGGAATATAAGATATTGTTGTAGGAATTGGTTTAAAAAGATATTTATAATAGAGAGAATGAATAATGGGTTTGTTAAATTTTAAGAGAGTTTGAATAATATTAAATATAGAGGAATAGAAAACAACCAAATGAAAATGAGATTTCATAATATTTAATTCAACTAAGATTCGTATTTAAATAAGATAGGAGAGGAGAATAGGAATATGAGCATCCTAAATTTAATTTAATAGTTTAAGATCAAAATAATTTTATTTTGTAACATAAAATAAGTAAGCAAACAAAGAAATTTATGCATTTTAAAGAGCTTTACAATTATTTACAAAATAATACCTAGAACTTTAATAATTGAATATACGTTTTTATAATAGACAATGATTATTTTATTGTTATTTAATTTGACTTAAGCAATCGATTTAACTACTCTTCATTTAGATGCAAACTATCTCTAGAATCATACAGCTTAGTTCAAAACTTAATTGTAATTAGATCAATAGACCAAACCTATAATAAACACAATGCCTGAAGACTAGTTTTCAGATTAAACAAGAATGAATTAAATTCTTTATGAGTAAGAAGAGAGAGCTGTATAGAAGTCAATTAAAATTCATGACACTCCACCTCCATCTCCTTATAGAACTAAATATGAAGAAATTCCAGAAGAGTAAAAACCTTAAACAAATGCAAAATTACCAAGAAAGAAACTTTAAGAAGAACCTTTATTTGGAGAACCAATTTTAGATGTAATATCTATTGCTCCTATAGCTTAAAGACATAAAATAGCATTATTGATTACACTCATATTTCTATTGTGTGTATTAATTCTTATGAGAGAAATGTATTTTAAATCATTACACAAAATATTTAGAGAATATATATGGAAAATATCATTAGAAACTATGTATTGTATGTTTGTAATCATTATTTTTATTGCACTGTATTATAATAATTATTTTGACTTTTGGCTTTTGGATAGCTAATATTAATAAGACAAATCTAAAGAAGACATTTTACTTATTGAAATTAAAGATTATGATGAAAATTATAAATATAATATTTATGCTTATCTTTTAACTGGAGGTTTAATTATTATAATGAACTATCTTATTCATTTAATACAAATTTTTGTATTTGATAAGTAAATGTAAATATGGTAAACTTAAGAATATAAATGGTTAAATAAATATCAATTAGTATAATTATATAAACAATAAAAATAAGAATTAAACTAAAAAAAAGAATAGCAATAATAATTAAATAGTAAAGAAATAGAGTAAGAAATTATTGAGATTTAAAGTGTTCTTTAAAAAGCAGAAGAATGTATGGATTATTTAATGATTAAATTATAATTTACTTATTAAATGTCACCATATTTAGGTCCAAATTTTTTAGATAGTACTTTTAATTTATCAAATTATCTTGGATATTTGAGTGCTGATATCATATATTAAATATCAATTTGGGACACCTAATAATACATTATTTTTACTATCTGTATGTTATTCCTGATAATATTGCTCTATTTCCTAAATATAATTATAGTTAGTATGCTTTACTGTTTGATTTTGTTTGTCAAAATTATTAATTTAAATTACACATTGATAATGATAAAAGAGAAATGTTTAATTAAAAAGGATTATGATAATCTTTTAGAAGATGAATTATAAGCAGTACCTCCTTTTATGGAACCAATTTTTGAAAATATATTACCTAAAAGATCAGTTGATATATTATCTGATTTATTTCCATTTGCTAATAAAAAATATATCAGCATTGTTCTTTCATCTTTAATTAAGATATCAACAACTCTAATGTGTATTATGAACATCTATTTCTATTATTGGTAACATTATTAATAATATGTTGTAATAATTTGCAATATTATTGGCTTTGCTACTTGTATTTCCATTATATATATTAGCAATAACATAATCTATCATTATACTATTGTTTTGAGTTTATATATAAGAAACTATGATTTTGTATACAACGTTGTAAAATTACAAAAATAATTACTCATTTAAGCTAGTTATCAATTTAATGAATTGATTAGATACATAAATAAAAAATCATTATAACATTCATTATAAAAAGATCATCTTCTTTTATTAAGACCAGTTATGGTTGATATTATTGATCTTTGTAAGAAATATCAACAAAAAGGAATGTAATAAGCCTAATACGATCCAAGAGAAGTTGAATTAGTTGATTTAGGAATAGAAGGTATTGATCTGATTCATAAGAAGTATCTCAAAAATATTATTTATTCTTTAACTGATAAGTATTATTTATTGTATACATAGATTTACTGAATAAGATCTTGTATATATTGAAAGTTTTTGTTCTGATGAAAATACTTAATACTTTTCACCTATGAAACTTATTCTTTATTTACATTTAAGATATTAGGAAATTAAAATGAATGGCAGAGAATTAATCACAGAAGTGTTATCAAAGGTTATACCTATGACATTTGATATACCATAAAAATTAGAAGCTGAAATACCTGAAAATTATATTAAAGAAGGTCTTGAAGGTTATTTAGATATTAATATATTGGATAATTTTCTTAAAGAATCTGTTAAATCCAACTTTTATAAAGATGAATATAGAATCATTTTAATTTAATGGTTAAATAAATTGAAATCAAAAAAAATAGATTCAATATCCAATTTTATAAGTGATCAAATCTCTTAACTACCTTAATGAATTGTGAATAACATTATATTTGTTTAATTCAAATAAATAATATTATATTATGATTACACCTATTTTTAAATAAATACATCCTGTTGATCTAAAATTTGCCACAGCGAATAAAGATATTGATGAATTTTATGTTATTCCAACACCTTTTGCTTATAATGATTTATATTTCTAGATGGAATGTAATTATTGGACCACTTATGGTTTAATTAAAGGAATTTTGGAATTTAATAAAACTAAAATGTATGGTCTATAGAAATAAAAGATAGTTCATTGCAAATAATGAGGATGTGATTGAAACTTTGGTTAGAACAACTACAAAATAATAAAAAGATATTAATGATGAAACAATTCAAAAGTTTTCATTTACGATTTTTTTAGAAGATATCTATTCAATTAACAATAGAGATAATTGGATTTAATTCTATCTATTTGGTAAAAGTGGAATAGATTTACCAATTTTAGATCATGAAAATAAACCATCTGTTTTATCTTTAACTTTATTGTTAAATTAGATTTGTAATGAATAGATTATTTAGTAAATAAGACAATTAACTAAAAATCAAAGAATATTATCTAAATTATAGAGTGATTAAGTTTATTATTTAATGACTTATATTTTAAAATTGACTCGTTATTAAACAAATAAAAAAACATTTCAAAAAATTATTCATGGATATTAACATCATAAATAAAAAAATAATTAAATGGAATGTTTATCATAAGTGTCATATTATGATATAATATCAATATAGAAATTAGATATAGAACATAAATTCGATTTATATTAGATTCGATATACTAATTTAAATAAGCCAAGTAGTATTATTTCTTAATCTCATTTTGAGTAGATATAAAATAATTTACCATAAAATGTTATAGATAATCAATGGTATTAAGTATATAAGTAAGAGTATTTTAAATATAATATTAGTCCAAAATATCATGGTAATTCTTTTTACGAATTTTTAAGAAGAACAAAAAATTTGAAAGAACATATATTGATTGTAAAAGATAATTGGGATGTAATTTTTGGAGCTTACTTAGAAGAAGGTTGGCATATTGATTAGAATTATTATGGAAATGAATAGAGCTTTTTATTTAGTTTTAAAAATACTGGATTTAGAATTTATAAAAATAGCAAAATGAATGAATGTTATTAATTATGCAATGAAGATAGTATTATAATAGGAGGTTCTGAACAAGAAGATTAATTTTCTATTAAAATCAATTAAAATTTTATGAAAGGTGAACTAAATAGTAGTTCAACATTTAGTAATGAACTACTTTCGAAGCAAAATAAATTTAACATTTAGGAATTTGAAATTTGGGGAGTTCAAAATGATTGTGAATTAATAATGAGACAATTACGTTTAGAAAGTTATCTGAAGATTGAAGAAGAACAATGAAATAATGATAAATAATAAATAGAAATCATTCTCTATTGTAATTCTTTATGGTTTAAGCAATTTCATCTAAAATTCTGTCTGGGATTTCTTATGCATTACAAACTTATTTTATATCTTCTCTTTTATCTAAATTCAAATTCCACGCCTTCTTTTAAACTCTTTAAAGTTTAGTGAGCATTTTTCTGTATTCTCTTCTCTCTCTACCTTCCTTTTAGAGAATCAAATCATATTCACCACATAAACGATCAAAGATTCTTCATATTTAAAATTAAATTACTTTCTTATTTAATCTATGTTATGATCCTTTTTCTTTATTATACTAAACGAACTCAAATACTTTCTGAAATCAACATCTATTCTATTATGTTATTATCTTGATTCTTGAAAATATTGATTCTCTATTTATGTTAAACGATGATTCAACTCACAAATAGAAAGTGCTGTCTTTTCATATTCTCTACTAATCTCTTATTGTTCTTGCTATTCATAAAATTCTTCTTATTTTAGCATATTTATTTTATATTATTAATAATAATGAAGAAATGTGACAATGAAAGAATTGCTTAATAAATATATGCCAGTTAGATGTTAAAATTGTAAGGTAAAATTTTGGAAAAGAAGTTAACTAAAACCGGCTCTAAAAATCAAATTGAAAGTTAATCACAAAACATCTCAAACAACAATAGTCCTGTCGTTGGAAGATAAAAGTCTTATGAGAATTTGTAGAAAGTCAATAAGACTTTTATTAATTAACCAGTTTCTTAATAAAAATTAAGCAGCATTTTGAATGTAATTAGTGGACAACAACAAAATTCAAAATAAAAGTACTCCATTAACAACGAATTGATTGAAACTGTTAAAATTTCGCATAAATTACGTAAGAATCAATCAATGATACATATTGAATAATAATCACCAGCATTAACTAAAAATGCATCTTTCCATCATTCAGTTAAAAATAAAATCAATAGCAACAGTGTATCAAGTGATCAATCATAAATTCAAAAAGTTAAAGAGAAAATTAAATTATTATTACAAGAACGTGATCAAAATTTACCATAAGATGCAAAAGAATTAGCATTCATGACTAAGTTTAATCAAATTTTGAATTAATTAGTAGTAGTTCTATTCTAAGAACCTAATCTTTAAACTTCATAATAATAATTCAATTTACCTTCCTCTACTTAAGATACTTTCTAAGCTATTTAAATTGACCATTTCTTCAAAAGATAGATTCAGATCTTATAATAGTCTTATTAATTATAATTAGACAAAAAGAAATTAGAGAATGTTTTATTGTAAATTAAAAAGAAACAAGAGATCTTATAACAGGAAAATGAATAATTGTCAGCAAATAAATTATAAATGACTGATTAGATAAATTAATTAAAGTCTTAAATATAAGAATTATAAAATCAGAATAATAACAATTAAGATAATATTTAGTTAGAATCAGGTATTTTTAATAAGATTTATTTCTAGAAACTTAAGAGTTGAAATATCTCGTATAAGGATAATTTGAAGCTATATAAAAATTATTATAAAGAGAATAGTTAATGAAAGTATTTTTAAAAAGAGTGGGTGATAGTTCTATAATTGAGTAAAAAAATATTTTTTATTTTAAATAGAATGTTTGAATAATTTATTTAGAGTGCAGAGAATATCAATTAAGATGATACTGAAGGCAATCTAAATATAGAAATGTTACCTTAATAAAAACATCAGTAAGTTTAAAAGAATACTTAATAATAATAATAATAATAATAATAATAATAACAAGTTTCAGATAAAATAATTTAATAATATGAAATTAGTTATAAATAATTAGATTTATGTGATTCATTATTAGCTGATGATTCAAGTAAGAGTCATTTACAAATAATTAGGAGTGAATGATTCTGAAGAAAGCAGTTTTGGATACTTAGGAAAAGAATAAGCAACAGAAGTTAGTTGTTATTTTACTTAAGCTTAGTAATATATTAACTCATTTTTATTTTAGATAATTTTAATAATAGTAAAATTAATAACAAACTTAACAATAATAGAACTAAAAATAGAAAGGGAAACCAAATATTAAAGATAAATTAAGAATAAATATGATGGATGTTTAGTTGGCTTAGGCTGCGTATTTATTTAAAAATAAATTAATTTAAGTTAGAAACATGAATACATGAAATAATAATAGTTGCTCCAACAATAACATTAACATCATGATAAAATTTTGCCAGATAATATTAACAGTGATGATGTATGTAAAATTTATAACCATAGTTTTGAATAGTTATCAAGATTTGATATTTAAATACTATTATAAAGCAAAAATATATATAATATTTCTCTAAATATTTAATAATGTTCATTCTTATTATTATGCTTCTTTTTCAGCAGGCATTTCTTCAACAGTAATAGTAGCTGTTTATTATAATGGTTATTGTTCTCCTGGAGATGCTAAATTGGATGATCCTGTTAAGATTCCATAAGATCTCTTGGCATCTTCTTCAACCATTTTTTAATATTGTTCTCTACCTGATGAAATAATCGTATGATAATTTACTAATCACATTTCCATCATTATCAAAGTATTAAATTTTTGGTGTTGATAAATCACCTTCATCTAAAATAGCCTTATCAGAGTCCTTTAATTCACTAAACCAATTGTTTGCAGTGTTTTCAACCTCTTAGAGTTAAGGTTCTGGTAAATGTAAACCAGATGGTATACATTCATGACTTAATAACATATTTACTTTATTTCCCTCTTAAGCATCAGTCATTTAAAATTAAGATCTTAATAAATACTATTAATACCCAATTGGAACATAAACAGATTAAATCGGAAGTTGAAATGATAACACTTCATCTGGTTAATTACAATACTTAAATGATGATCCTCTGAAATTGCATTCAGAATATAATATTATGCAGTCACCTTTAGCAGGTAAGTTTTACTCATAATTTCTAGCTATTAAAATTTATTATTCTTTAGCAGATTATAAAACTGACTCTGGATCATAAACATATTCTTATTCTGGAGATATTGCTGTTTCTATTTCTTATTATAACACATCTTCTTAAATCATTATTGGAGCAAATGGAGTTTAGTAATATTATGCGGATTCTTCCAAAAATGATTGAGTGTTGACTGCTATTAGAAGAACTAATATTAATTGTATTTTCATTATTAAAATAAAAACGAATTATCTCAAACTATAATATTTAAAAACTATTTCATTATTCATCAAATTGATTATCTTTTACATTTAGATCTTCAGATATTATCTATTATGGATAATAATTCATATTAAAAGGAACTTGTTATGGATGCATTAAATAACAAAACAAGTTTTTCTCATCCATTTATTATTACATTTATTATTATTATGCCAATAAGTATTATTGATAGCATAACTATTATTAATCTTATAAATTTGATTTATCCTCATTTTTATTTATATGATCTATCATTGGATATTATATATATGGTATTTAAGGAAATTAAAATTAATAATCTTAAAAACCTTAAGGTTATTAATAGAATTGTGGTCCAAACATAAACTATTACAAAAATCCATTCTCTGAACACTTTTCTATTTTATCTTAGTTTGCATTCTCCTTTCTTTTTCTACCACTACCCTTCTATCTCTTCTTAACTTAATGGACAAAAGGATTAAACTTCTGGTGATGTGACCTAGAAGATAGAGAAAAAACCAATCTCACCGGCATTAAGAAGGACTTCGAGTTCCTATCGTTTCACTCATCACTTTGAAAATCTTACTAGTTTTCTTTTAATCTTATGATTCCATCACTGTTCTATGCAAATTTAAAAAATCTATATATGTATTATGTTCTTATTCACTCCAATGTCCTGTTAATTAATTGGGATTTGTAATTACTCTTTTTTTATTCTTCTTTCTTTATTCCCCTTCTTCAAATTATTAATTCATTTCCTCTTATTTAGCCCCAAAAAACTCTTCTTAACTCATTTATATTTATTATTTAATTAATTAATATCATCATTCATTTCTCCTCAATTGACTAATCCCTTTAAGATAAAACTGAATTATTGTGCTATGAATTCGTCTTTTAAGAATATGTTTTATTTACATGTTACATCAATTTTATTTGAGTATTCAATAATTCTATTCTTATTCATAATTGTATACTTTTTTGGAAATCATCCTATATCTACGTTAGCTCTGTAAAATGCTGTTTAATTTAAGTTACCTAAGTATTTTGTAATTTATTCTGATTATTATTAACATTTTTTAAATTTTCTATTTCTTACATTAATTCTTTCACCAAGTTATTATTAGTATTATTCTTGTTTGCAAATATTTTCTATATCAAATATAAAGTTATTATTGTACAATATATAAATAAAAATATGTTTACTTCCATTATTTTTATTATAATATTAATAAATAAAACAGATTATTAATAATAAATTAATTAATATATGTAATCAACACCTCCATTTTCACAGAATCATTCTAACCCTCTTTTGATGAAAGATGATGTAGGAAAGGCCAAACCATCTACATACAATCTCCCTAATTAAGATTTTATTTATGGATAACCATTATCAAGAGATAAAGAAGGAGCTAAAGAAGGTATTTATAACAATCACATTTCTCTAAGTTACAATGACATGGAAACTTCATCAAGAATCTTAAGATAGAGTACCCAATAGAGATTTTGCTGAACTCAATAAATAATCTATACATAATGGCTCAGTCAAAGCACATGTAACTGATTTATATATTAATTATTCAGGATATGTATAAGTTTAGACAATCTCATGATGCCAGACTTAAAATAAAGAAAGGTACTAATATTTAGGCAATCGAATTACCAGAAGAAGAATTTCGTTATGGTCGTAAAAACAGGTATTTTCTATTACTATTAATTTAGACCATCAACTCCCATGAAATTAATCATGGGCAACTCATATGGTATAGATGCAGAATCAACCATTTTAGATAAATATTAACACAGAGCTGGATCATAAGTATATTAAATATAATCTTTAGGATTCTTAATTAACTACTTCGATGGTCAAAAGTAATAAGGCATCTTAATTATTTCATGATACCAATCATAAAAAACTAGCTGCTATCTAAGGTGTAGAAAAAAAAGAACCTTTTAAAATGGAGAAATTTAAATCTGTCAATCCTAAAATTAATACAAATTTATCAACTAAAAAATGATTATGATTATTTCATTAAACATTATCTTTATTTATTTAATCATTAAATTATTGAAATATTTACTGTCTCTATTAAATCTATATCTACATAAAGCACCTTCCAAGAATTAAAGGAATGATGCACATTTTTATTTTTTTTTTCCTTTTCCGATAATTCTTCATCATATCTGTCAAATCCACTGAAAAACTAATCATATATATTCTTCTTTCCTAAAGAACTTAACTATTCTTTTAAAAACTCACATAGTAATATTGCATCCTCTCTATGTTTTAAAACGCTTAAAGAGGAAAGAATTCTTTTTAATCTTAATAAATTATGAGTGTTTTTTAAACAACACAATTCAAATTAACTCTTATCTATTAATACTAATTTCTTCGATTATTTCTTGACATTTTGTTAATCAACTTATAAATTGCTATTGTTGGATTCTATTAATATTATTTCTTCTTATTATTATACTTATGATTATTATAATTATTATTATACTTATACTTATGATTATGATTATTATTATTATTATTATTATTATGATTGTTATGGTTATTCTTATTACTCTTATAATAATAATTATTATATTTCTTATTTTTGTTTCTATTCTTATTATTTTTTTTATTATTATTCTTAGAATTAAATTTATGGGACTATTTCATGTTATTTTTTTTATTATTTTAGTGTTATTTTCAATTTTTTATTCTAGCCTTATATTTATTAAGATGAAACTTTAGATTGTCCTTTATTATTAAATTCTGAATCTTGAGAATTCTTTTATTATAAATCTAATTATGATTTAGTTTAAATTTACTAATCATTAATACCAGAATTATTTAATATATCAATTTTTTGATCTAGTAATTTAATTCCAAAAAAGCACAAGATTAATTTATAATTTTTATAAAATCGGTCTAATATTTTAGGTGATTTAATCATCTTCTCTCTTTCTTCTAGTGTTAGTTTATATGAGTTTGGATTAAACTTACTAGCATAAAAGTTAGGAAACATCCATTAAATAAAAGAATGATCATACTCTAGATTTTAATAGAATGATTTAATATCAATTTATGGCTTTGATTATTATTAAAATTACTAAATGTAGTCTTAAATTTTTGGTTTGACTGCACTCCAATTATCTGAATTATAAAAATCATAATTCCTATAAATTTCTGATTTATTTGATTGCATGTATTAAATTTAATAAAAAAAAAATTAATGTTTAAATAAAATTAATTCATGAAAATCTGTCTAAATTATGGAGTTCAGGATATTTAATCTTAAAAGTATTTATAAGATCCTCTAACTTATTTTAACACAAATTAAGTTCAATTAATTCAATTTATGAGATTTAAACTATTTTGTTGTTCTAAACATAATATAAAATAAATTACAAATTGATTGATAATAAGATCTTGGTTTTGTGAATAATTCTATTTGATATAATCAGCAATAGAATAAATGAATGAAGAAGATGCCAAGGTGTAGGAATTAAAGGATGTCATGGAATAATCATGTAGACACATTTTTAATATATAGGTACTAGTTTCTAAAATATTTTATATATTAGGACTAAAATTAAATAAAAATGTTTACTTATCATTTAAACTAAAACATTAGTAAAAGATATTATGTAAAAAATCTAATGTAGTTGGGAAAGTGATTTCGAAATTCAATGTTTCCAAAATAGATTATTCCATGGCTTTAATTTTAGATCTAGAATATAGTATAATAAAATACGCTGTGTATTTATTATGGCTGACTCTAGTGACAAAATCTGATAAAGGAATATGATAAATATCTTCAATTTTAGTAGCTATAAACATAGAGGTAATTCCAATAAGATGAAGATGATTATCTGAATATGATGTGATTGATTTTTATAGATAATAATCCATGATAGAAACTGATCTAAAGAAAGTAGCATCCGAAGTTGTTTCACTATAATTTCCGAGAACTTCAATCATCCAATCAATCATCTTGGCTCTAAGGGATTGTGAAATCTTTTAATGTAAAAGACAATTTCCAAGATAGACATTCTCATTGATCAAGGATTATTGAAATTCTTAGTGATAATATTAACTGTATTGTTATTATCTTCTCATTTATGAATGATTCATATCATCATTAATAGTTACTAAAAATGGAGATATATTGATTACATATTGATTAAACATCTTCTAAGTGAAAGTGACTTAATTTCAAACTGAATACTTACTTTTCCTTTTCAGCTTCTAGTTCCTTAATGAAATTAAGTAGTTTCCCTTCTTCTGGGAAATGAGGTTACTTTTCATGTGATTATGAGTTTGTTTTGAATGATGAAGATTGTGAGTGACGGTTTTTCTTTTGTTTACCTCTATGAGCCTTTTTGATTTTGAGTTATGGTGAAGGACTTCTTCTGGATCTTGATAAATTTCTATCTTATTTCATTAATAAATCAAAATGGTCAGCTCAAATTTGGTTATCTTTAAATTTCGTTAAGTACTTTTTTACTTGGATTTCGCTATTTTCACTAAAACTATTATTAATTAATGTTGATATATTATATACTTATACCAATTGTAATTGGATCAAAAGATTCCTGCCAGCATTACATGTCATCACTCTTGTTGAAAGCAGAAATTGATGGGTATAAGAAGCTTATAGAGACAGTTTGGCCATATGTAAGTTTATCAGGGAATAGGTATTTTCTAATATAAATAGATAGTCTAAACCAATTTGGAATGTTTGAAGCTTGTTTAAGAAAAGGATACTTTTATTCGAGTCTTAAAATAGATATGGAACCTCTACCAAGTTTTTATGGATTATGTCATTCAACAGAATGTACAACAGATGATTTCAATGATGATGAATTACAGTCTGATTTTAAAGAATTGATTAATTCAACAGGATTTTTAGACAAATATAATGTAACAATTATTATAATAGAAGATATCCTTAGATAATGTAGATTTCATATTTTATGATCCTTTAAATTATAATAAGGATAGAGGAATAATGTTTACATTAAGTCTTTCTTTAATTGGAATGTTTTTGATTCTCAGTTGTTTTAATCCAATATTTTGTTAAGTGATGAAATTAAGAAAATAAGTCAAAGTGACAATTAATGCTAAAGATATTGAAAATCAAGAGATTTTTGAAGAAAATTAAGGTTTGACAAATAGCAAGAATAAAATTTAAGAAAATAAATAAGAGGACATAAATGAATCATGTTTTATAGATTATTCTCTTTTGGAAAGTTATCATTCACTATTTTCATTTAGAGATTATGATAATAACTTAAGTATTATGGAAGGATTTAGATCAATAGGTTTTTTAATGGTTATCTTTGGTCATTAATTTTTTGATTTAGCAAAATCATCATTTCAATTTGAGATGATAGCTCAATTAAAATCATGGTTATGTTTGAATTTAGTTAATATGTTATATAGTGTAGATATGTTTTTTTGGTTAGGAGGATTTTTTAGTGGATATGTGTTATTTGAGAAAAGTAAGGTAAAATTAGTGAGAAAGAATGGATGGTCAATGTTTGGAATTATATTACATAGAATATTAAGAATATGGCCATGTTATGCAATAGCTATATTAATAAGTTCATAATTAGTACCATATATTGGAGATGGTCCAAGATGGTTTATGGCTTTGGATCGTTTTGAATGTTCTACAGGATGGAGAAATCTAATATTTATAGATAATCTATTTTATGATAATTAATATTGTTTTCCATGGGGATGGTATTTATCAACAGATATGTAATTATTTTTATCATGTTTGATTCCATTATTTTTATATGCAAAATTAAATTCAAAGATAGCAAAAATATTGATTATTTCATTTTTAGTAATAACTTAAACAATTGGAACAATAATGTCATTAGTAAATGAGTATTTATTACCTCCATTTGCATTAACTTAACCAAATATGCATTAAAATTATTACACAAAACCTTTTACAAGAGGTCCACCATATTATTTAGGATTCTTGATAGGAGTTTGGTATAGAGAAATAAAAGAAAATAATATTAATATTCTAAGTAAGTTATCAGGATTTGCTTAAAAAAGATAAGGGAGATTTAAATTTATTTGTTATTTATGTGGATGTTTAATAATAGGAGGAATTTGGTTTGGATGGAGACCAGCTTAATAATAATATAAAAATTAAGAATATTGGAATATTACTATTTAAAGTTTATGGTTTGCATTTTGTAGATTAGGAATAGGTCTTGGAATGAGTTTCTTAAGTTTACCTTGTTTATTTGGAATGCAAGATTTGTAATAAAATTATGATATAAATTATAGATTCAATTTAACATTTATGAGAAACAACTATTTTAGATTCATTAATAAGATTTCATTCTCAGGTTACTTAATACATTAAATAATAATATTTGGTGTTCTTAGTTAATTTTATTAAACCCCTAATTTCTCTTTCGAAACGATTTTCACACTGTATATTGGAAATCTATTTATAACAATTATATGTTCAATAGTATTCTGTTTGTTTATAGAGATACCACTTTCAAAAATAGAAAATAGATTGATGAAATAGATGTTTAACAAATGATTATCTATAATCAATACTCATTTATAATTAAGTGCTATATATTTAACAACTGCTTTCATCATATCTGATTATAACTTTGCATATTGATTTGTAATTGATTAAGGTACATCACCTCTAGGATCAAAACATTAGATAGCAATGATTTTGGTCATCTATAAAATTTAGATCTACAATAATTACTTAATTTGGTTAAGGAATAATGATCCATCCACTTAAATGCATTTCTGCTCTCTCAACTTTGTGAACAGGTGGAGTTTTCTGATGAATAATAGATTTAGCTATAAAAGAATCAAAATATTCTCTTACAACAAACAATATAGATGCCATCATTTTATTTATAGATCTTTTATATCATTACTAAATCTCTGCTGCTCATAAAAGGAATGGGAGGTTTAATTCTTACATAAATAACTCTAGTATTTTCATCTATCTTTTCTATTACATTAGCCTATAATGATATATCTATTATTATATACAGTTTCGATCTTCTCATCATACAAAGGTCGCTTATTTACATCTCCTACTAAATCAAGAATTTAATCAGGTGTTTTAGCTATCTCTGTTTAAGTCCTATTAATTGTTATTCCATTTTCTGGATTCTTCTTTGTATATACTACATATCCATCTTTATTTTAATATAATTCCCACATATTCTATTCGTTGATTTCTTACCATTTCATCATCTTATTCTTAGCCTCTATATTTTTTCACATTAATTATACCATCAATAAATGCTTCATAATTTGCCTACATTTTTAATTATTTTATTCTTATTTGCTATTTGATTCACAACACTTATCAACTATAGATATATTATAGAAATCAATATTCAATTCTATATATATATATTAAATATCTCATCAATCATTCTGCATTTTATATTTACATTACAATCTCATCAAATGTCAAATCACGAAATATCATTTAATATTATCTAGCCCATTCTAAGTTACATTATAACACTTCTGCTAATCTCTTTGCCCTTTATTCATCCATATCACTCCAATTATATTATTATTGATATCTGTATATTTAATCAATTATTATTACTATTAATTTTGATTTCTATTTTTTATACTCTTACTGATTTCCTTTAACAATTATTATAGTTACTCTTTCTATTATTTTAATTAAGGATCTCTCATTATTTATTCAAACCTCTTCAATTTCATATGATTAGTTTTATGAAGATTTTTCCAATTTTATCTAAAACGATGGAACCCACCCAACTCAGGATCATGTTTAAATTACTCTTAATGTGGATGTATTTAAGGATTAATTGAACCTAATGGAGGAGGTGGAGGTATTATTTGTGGAGCTTATGGCTATTAAACATAATTCACATATTATTAAGGATCTCCATAACACTAAGGTTAAGGTATATCAAATACTGGTTATCTACATTCTTAATACTATTAAACTAATTATTATTGTTAAGGCTCATTCTCCTTATATTGACAACATACTTCACAAATTACTCCTTCTTAGTTCTCAAATGTACAATATTTACAAGTCCATATATTTTATGTTTCTATTGTAATCTTTATTGTCTAGTTCTTTACACTTTCTATTAAAACTTTTAAATCCTCATCTGAACTTATGCTAATCTAATCTCCTTCTTCATCTTTATAAAATAAACAATAGCTCTTATTTATTTGAGGATACAATTTTTAAATATCTTTCTTTATTTACTCAAGAACTGGATTTTCTAATTTTAACAAATGTATTTCCTTTTTATAAACTACTTTTATTATCATTTAATTTAATTTATCTCAATAAAAAATCTATTCTATTATCTATTATATATTAGGAATCTTATGTTCCAATCAAATTTAAAAGCTTATTCTTAAAATCATTAATTCTTATATTTATTAAAATTTAAATTAGACTATTTATATAATTATTTCCTCAATTTTCTGTTTACATTTTTTTTTAAGTGTGAATCATATATAAAATTATTTTTATAAATAGATAATAATACATAAGAATTGATATTTTCTGAAAAATACATTTTTTATTAGTCTAACAAAAAAAATCTGATTTCAAAATCTAAACTTTTTTATCAAATAAATTTAACAAGTTAGGAAAAAGAAATAATAAAGCTTAAAGATTTAATTGATCTAATTATAATAATGGATAATTAAACTAAGAATTAATATAGTTAATGAAATAAATAAAATAGTCTTTCAAATTATATTAAGATACATATATAAAGAATTCTTAAATCTTAGATTTTTATATCTACATGAAATAATTTAAAGGATTGTTAAGATCTATGAAATCCATAAATGATACTTTATGAATAATAAAAACATAATTATCATATATATTTTTATAATTTATAATATTCTATAAAATCTCAAATCTACTCAATCTGCTTATATTTACTTTCCATTCCTGCCTTTACATATATTTGAAAGCTTTGAATTGTAAATTTATTGTTATTATTACATTTCTTAATTTTCTTATTGTCTCCATTTATTTCCAATCAATTAAATTTCTTTTTCATATTATGGTAATGTTGGAGGAGGTTAAACTTATTAAATAATAGATCCTAAAATGATATATAAATATTAATTACCTAATTCTTCATGATAAACCAAAATAGAAAAGTTAGTGATATCATTTAGGGTTGATGAGCTAAGAGAAGCATAATCAAATCTTCCTCTTAAATCTGTATATCCATCTTTATGAAATGTTTCTTTTTCACTTTTATTTTTTGAATACACTTTTACATAAACTTTAGATAAGTATTAACCTTATTAATTAAATACTCTAATCTAACCAGAGTCCTCCATTGTTTAGACAAATAAAGATGTTGGTTAATACTTACAAGTTACTGATTTCTTTAAACCTTTTATTGTCACAAACAAATTCTCTTTTGATATTTCATTAGGTATTTTTATTTTTTATTAATAAATACTAAATTAATAAATATAATCTAATACTTCTTTTGAATTTCTTATCCTTCAAGTTTATGTGTTACACATACATTTGGAAGTACTATTGAAAAATCTTGTATAATATTCTTCATAAATGGATTATTTGAAAACAAAACTTCAATATCCAATTTATAGTATTCTATTTTCACTTCTTACAAATTTGAGTATGTAATACTAATTTAATCGCCTTCTATAATACAAGCTAAGGTTTCTTCTTTTTTAATTAAATCATTCTGTTTATTTTATTAAGCTAAATCTAATTTAGAAAATTGATTATCTTCTTCACCATCATACTCTATAAATAAATTTATTATTTCATAAAACATATTTCTCCAATGTATTACAGGATAACTCAAATATCTTTGACATATTTCCCTAGCCCTTTAAAAGTTAGGATATCCGGTATAAATATCTAAATATGCTGATAAATAATCAAATTATAATTATTATTCTTTCTATTCTTTTTCAGTAATTTAAGAAAAAATCTAAACAGCCTCATTCACTCTCTCTTATAATAATAAATAATAAATGAGGACTAATTTATCAACAGTTGAGAATTCAGGTTTTTCTAATAAATAAATTAAATAATTAGTATATTATTTTCTAAATTATACATTTAAAATATTATTCTCTCCTTATTTTAAATTATGAACTCTTTTTATTATAAGGGGATAATACTCTAAGATTCTGATTGAATTAATTTCAAACAAAGAACATTTAAAATATTTAAAATTACTTTTTAATGCATTTTAAGCTTATTCTGTCATGAATAACTCTTATAAACATGCAACATTATTATGTAGTAAAGAAAAAGCAAAACTATGAAAATCATAAAATTTCCTTTTTCTGTATATTTACATCACTTGATCATAGAATACTTTATCATTAAATTTATGGTATAATAATTTAGGATTAAATGATTTTAAGTTAAAAATATTCTTATTCTCTATATAATTGAAAATATCTTAATTATTATCTGTTGATAATACTTCATTTATATTTTCTAGATTCACTTTTGGTTTTTAATCATAAACTAAAAATGTTTTTTCATTAGCTATTTAAATTACTTTACCAAGTTTTGATATATTAGCTGGATAAATTGTAAAATTCCCTGATTTTGGGAAATAGAAATAGTATTTTTAAATTGTTGTTTAATAAGGAGCAAAAGTCAAAGTGAAAGTTTTAGTTGAAAATGTTGTATAAACTGGAATAGATCCATTAGGAATTTCTACTAGTAATTAAAAGGTTTGTGACATAGCTGAACAATTTGTTACAACTATTTTACAACAATATACTTTTTTGATAAAAAATTCATTTAAATCTTATTCATATTCATTACCATCTTAATCAATCTGATTTTCTTCAGAAATATCTAAAAATGTTTAATTTATAATAATTTTAGAATTAAGTTAGACCTCTGCCTCTTTAATTTCTCTTGTAAAAATAAGTGCAGTACTTTCATAATTTATTTCTAATCCTTTATTACCAATTTTAGATTAGTTAAATTATGGTGCTTAAAAAGGTAAACTAACTAATGCCAAAACACTTAGTATTTCTGTAAAATTATTGGTGCAAAACATAAAGGATGAAGGACAGAAATCTTCTTTTAGAAAACCTTTTTAGATTGAATGATTCACAAGATCGACATAAAACTATTTGAACTTAATTAAGTTAAAAAAATCTTTTTAATTAACACCATATCGATAATGTTTCTCACAATATTCATTGGTAGTTTCTGCATTTTTGAAAGTCTTAGTTAAATGTTCTCTCATATTATCATATTTAAGGGCTTCTTATTAACCCAAATATTGTTTTGCTTTTGATACATCCATTGTAATTGAAGCTTTTCTTTTAATTGATAAAGTCATTGATGCCATACTTTATTAATCATCTTCCTGTTATTTATAATCTATACTATCAAACATTTATTTAGAAATTTTCTTAGTTTTTGAAATTGGTATTCTGTTAATCATTGTTTCTTATGGAGGTTAAATAGATTAAGATTCTTAAGGTTTTTATTCTACAATTTCTTCTTTTTCATCAGAGGATTCCTTCTATACACATAAAATTGTATCAAATAATGTTTTATATCTATCATCATCTTGTTTAATAAATTCGTTGTTATTTTATTAATTCATATACTAAGCCATAGCTTATGCTTCATCCTTTTTATCTATAATTTCTTAATAATAAATAATCAAGAGTGCCTACTCTAATGCATTTAACTATTTAAACTATGTAACTTATTCATATTTTGTGAGTGTTTACTAATCATTTAACAAAAAATAATCAATAAAAGACTTTTCTATTTTGTTTGATATGTATTTTAAAATATATGTTTAAAAATATGCTTAATCTTTGAAATACAAAAATAGATTGAGTTCATCGCATTAATGTTAATTATAAAATTTATGTTGGGATTGAAGAGGCTCTTAATTCCATTTCAAAAGTTAATTTATTAATTTTTCATCATCTGAAATTAATTTTTGATGACTGATTTTCATTAACTCCTTTTGAATTTTAAATAATACATTTAAGTTATCTAAAACAAAAATTTCTGTTGAAGTTATGTCCTGAATTTAATGTGGAATATTAGGCTTTATTTGCTTGGTATTACGAAATGTTGAATAAAATTTATCTTTTGACAAAGATGACTAATGACAAAGATTTTTCGTTTATATTACACTATTTTATAGTGGCAATACTCTAGATAAATATGCTTCACTTATATAAGCAAATAAAAGGACAGTTGAATATTATCGAGAAACTTCAAAAGAAAAATGATTCTTGTCAATATTAATTTAGCTAATTATTTTTCCAGGAAAGGCTAAGAACTCAGTAAAACTATCACATAATTAATTTCCATCAAATTATTGTAATACTTTTCTTTGTAATCTAGGAGAAGCGCATCTTTTTCGTTCATTTCCTGTTAAATTATGATCTTATTTTAATATTTATTCTTCTTAAGTTACAGTCTTATCAGCGATAAGTCTATTTAATAATATTTAAGGTTTTTCTAAAGTATTTCCTACATATTTTGTTTAGTTTTTTCTTTCAATAATATACCTTATTTCCTCTGATTATTTTAAATTAGATAAATAAATATTATCTCTCAATTCTATTCTAAGATGGTTATCAAAATTATTTGAATAAAATATTGATCCCATTTATTTATTTATGATTGATAATTCTTTTGGAAAGAAAGTTGTTGCCAAAGCAATTAATTTTACTTAATTTGAAGATATATAATCTCCTTCAATGAGAAAGTTTTAATCTTTTTCACTTATTTTTGTATTTTCTAAAGAAAAAGTTTTATCATTTAAGTTTTAGGTGATTCTTTTTGTTTATGTATATATTAGATTATCTTATTATTTCACATTTTCTCCAAGAACATTAAATTGATAAATTACTTTTTCTTTCAAGAATTCAAGTATATACAATCCTTTCTTCTCAAATTATAAAGTTATTGAATTTGTATCCTTAACTATTTTATTAATAAGATTTTTAACTGGTAAAAACACTGATTTCATATTTTTTGTTTTATAAAATAGAATATCTTATTCTGTTGATTCAGAAGGATATCTAAGAGTTAATTTTTATCCAACAACAAATGTCTCAAATTAGTTTTCTAAATAAAGTGTATAAGGATTGGATATTTCCCATTCTTTTTTTTCAATCTGTAAGTTTGTTGAGATAATAGAAGAGGATATTTTTTTTATATTTTTCAAAAACCCTAATTTTATTTACCCTTATTGATTTGTAATAAGCTTTTCTTATAACTGATCTTCAATATCTGAATGTTCAAATTAAATCTAAGCTTAAACATTTGATTAAGGTTCTCCATTTTTACCTAATAAAATGATTGAATATCCATCATTTTAATCAAATTTTAGCAATTATTTTAAAAATATATGTTAAGATTAGCCATGATTGAATTTAACTTTATGATTCTTTTTTAATATCAAATCTTAATTAAAACGCAATCTTTTGATTTTTCCTGATACTTCTATTTCAATATTTCTTAATTGTTAAGTAATTGGAAATTTAATTTCTAAAGGTATATTGCTTTCAAATATTAGGTCTTTATAAGTAAATGTTTATGGAATCCCTTTTTCATTTACACAAGTCACTAATATTTGTTATTCTTTAAAAAATCCAAAACCAATATCTTAATCATTTAATAATAATTTTGGGATAATGATTATGGTAACTTCTTATCCTAATTAAATTTATTCATCATTTAGTATAAAAGCACAAAGGAGTTAAAATGATTCAGGTTATAAATTAAGTTATGCTTTCTAATAAAAATCTCCATGTTGAATAATTGCAGAATACTTTGTTTCAAACTCTGGAAAAGGTAAAATAATTTCTCCATTTTATTATTTATAACAAGTTTCATTTATCCAAATACATATTTGATCATCTACCAACTTTTCATATTTTTCATCAAATATTTCATATTTATACCCTGCAGATACAATTGTTTAATGCAAACACAATCTTCCTTTTTCAATAATAGCTTTTGAGGATAAACCATTTCCTATAAATTCTATAATAAAAGTTCCTCTTTCAATTTTTTAAATTGATTCAAATGAAAACTCTTTAATAACTTTCTTAATTGGAGGATAATCGTAAGTAAAATTTATCTCTTCTATTGGAATGAATCCATCTAGACATATATTTGATGTTAATTATTCACTCTTAGCCATATAAAAGTTTTTCATATTGATCTAAAATATTTTGATTGTTAGATTTGCTATATTCTTTAATTCTAAATATAAAGTCACTGGATCTCCTTAAAAAAAATATTATTTATTATTATCACACAAATTAAGGATCTTATTATTATTCATCTATTTAATTTAAGAATTAGTGAAGAATTCTGTCAAATTTGAAACTTCTTCACCTTTATAAAGTTTACATTCAGCTTTCAATGTTTTTAAATAATTATCTTCTAAATATAACTCAAATATGCTATAATTATCATTTGATTAGAAATATTTCTCTAAATACTTTTCTATGATTTTATCAGCATTTATCCCTATTTTTAATATAATTAATTAAATACATCTCTAAAAATTAAAGTCATGAAATTCATGCCAAAAAGATTAATATTCTCTTCTAATTTTATTTTGAATCTCTCTTTGTTACTAAGTACTGTTTGAATAATAATCTTTGGGATTTTTTAAGTATTCTATAAATAAATCAAAATCAAAATGATTAAATTCAATTCCTAAAAAATTATACTTCACTATTACCTAATTAAAGTAATTCAAGTAATATTTAATCGCTTAAAGACTTAAATGTTTCAGGTAATCTTTTACTCCATATATATGCTTTGTTTAAATTTGATAAAAAGAATTCTTTATTTTCTTAAAAATTTTCATCATATTTATCATATTTACCTAAACTATACTTTTTAAAGAAGAAATATCCAACAAATTATTTATTTTCTACAAATCTATTATTTAAATTTGATATTTTTTTCATTTATGTAAGAGTAAGTTTTTTAAAGTGAATAGCTTCAAATTTATTTTTATAATCTTCTCGCTTCATCAATTCATTATATAACTCTGGTATGTCATTTAATCTAATCAATATAATTAAAATTACTCTATTATTAAAGTATCAATTCTACTGAAGAAATTGTCAATTACTTTAATAGGAGATTTTGATAATTGTATAAGATCTAATTTCGATAGAAGATTATTCTTTATTTTTTATATTCCTTTATCAGTATAAGCATTTTTTAGATATTCCTCTATTGAAAATTTACTATTATCAAACTCTGAAAGTCCAACTTTGACTTGTGCATTCCCACTTAGCCCTTATTATTTTTATATTATTAATTATTATTATTCACTATTTAAATTTTATGATGATAAATCATCAAAGCTTATCCCAAATAATATTTTGTTAATTTTTATTAATATCTATTTTAACTTCAATATCACTTTTTCTGTCTGTTCCATCTTCATTAATTCATCATATTCCATAAAAAGAGATCTTAATCGAATCTTTTAATAATTCTCAGTATTCATCTTTTTATATTAATCAAAATGTTCTTATTACTAAGAATCTAATTTATATCCTTTGGTATTTAAGATGTTGAGGAAATACTGATAATAATATTAATCAGATCCTTTGATCAATTTTGAAAGTCCATCTTGTTTAGAACTTAAGATAGCGGACTCTAATTAATTGAAATCTATCTCAGTATCATTTGTATTTTAAAAGACTTTTAAGTTTACACTTTCCATACTCATATCTATTGATAAGTTTATTTCTTCAAAAGAACATTAACTAGACATTGCTGAAAAATTAATTATATTATTGAGATTAGAATCATTATTTCCTTAGTTTTATATAACAAAATTACATTTAAATTTTTGTGTATAATTATAATTATATTTGTTATTTATTGAATATATTTTTATCAAATATGACATAAAATTTTAAAAGTATATTTGTTGAACTCATTTTAATTTTGAGAATAATATAATAAATACTGTCTACATTTTGACTATTGCAGATAAAATGAAAAAGAAAAAGAATATTAAATTGTAATTAAATACGAAAATTATTAAAATATTTAAATAATGAGAACAAGATAAGTGTTTCAAAATTGAAAAAAATTGTACTTTATTATATATTATATAATTTTACAACAGAAAATCTTGGTACAGTAACAGTAAATGTGCTTATGGTAGATGTAATACTTTGATTGGGTACATTCGTTGATTTTTTATTGTTTTTATTGCCATAAACATTCCAATACAGAAATATCTAATTTAAAAAATAATTTTTAGCAATTGCTCCAGATGTAAANTTCATTAATTCATCATATTCCATAAAAAGAGATCTTAATCGAATCTTTTAATAATTCTCAGTATTCATCTTTTTATATTAATCAAAATGTTCTTATTACTAAGAATCTAATTTATATCCTTTGGTATTTAAGATGTTGAGGAAATACTGATAATAATATTAATCAGATCCTTTGATCAATTTTGAAAGTCCATCTTGTTTAGAACTTAAGATAGCGGACTCTAATTAATTGAAATCTATCTCAGTATCATTTGTATTTTAAAAGACTTTTAAGTTTACACTTTCCATACTCATATCTATTGATAAGTTTATTTCTTCAAAAGAACATTAACTAGACATTGCTGAAAAATTAATTATATTATTGAGATTAGAATCATTATTTCCTTAGTTTTATATAACAAAATTACATTTAAATTTTTGTGTATAATTATAATTATATTTGTTATTTATTGAATATATTTTTATCAAATATGACATAAAATTTTAAAAGTATATTTGTTGAACTCATTTTAATTTTGAGAATAATATAATAAATACTGTCTACATTTTGACTATTGCAGATAAAATGAAAAAGAAAAAGAATATTAAATTGTAATTAAATACGAAAATTATTAAAATATTTAAATAATGAGAACAAGATAAGTGTTTCAAAATTGAAAAAAATTGTACTTTATTATATATTATATAATTTTACAACAGAAAATCTTGGTACAGTAACAGTAAATGTGCTTATGGTAGATGTAATACTTTGATTGGGTACATTCGTTGATTTTTTATTGTTTTTATTGCCATAAACATTCCAATACAGAAATATCTAATTTAAAAAATAATTTTTAGCAATTGCTCCAGATGTAAAGCAGTTTATAATGATGTTTCTATATTATCATTTCAAATAAAATTTAAGAAATTTAATTAGATACTTTTTGGAAAATGAACTTTTTTTAGAAATGTGATTCAATATTGATAAATATTTTTTTTGGTTTTTAAGAAAGGTACATAATTTTTTTCCGTATAATATTTTCAAAAGAATCACCAATATATTTTAAATAAAATTTTAGAATTTTTCTATCCATGCACAACCTTCACTTCCAAAGGCTAGCATCTCCCATGATACTTCTTAATTATCATCTATTTGATATGTTAATTTTAATTTCCCTTTCTATTTATAATTAATTTAAGGCGTTTCTCTCAAAGTATTTTAACTGCCAAATAAGTACAAAAATAATAAAGATATATTTCAAAGCTCTCCTAATTGATAATTTGACCTAGTTCTTTACATTTCTATATTTATTATGTATGGTAAAAATCAACAAATATTTTATAAAAATCAAATGCTAGTTAAAATGCTGCTACTATAAAATTAGCATCAAATTGAATGGTATAATTAACTTTTTTTTCATTTCTTATTTAATTATCTAAATAAAGAAAATGATTTGCAATTGAATTTTATTCAAAAAAGCTTTAATTCTCTAAGTCCTATAGAATTTAATTACAATATTGAATTAGTTCCATTTCATATTCTACTTATTATTATTTATAGCTTTTATTTTATATTTATTTTTATTCTTTATCTTTTTTCTCATCAATTTCATTTGTTTTAGAATATATTTTAAGTAAATTACTTGATTTTTGGCTTCTATTTTTCATTTAAGATAATTTTTCTTTAATACTTCTCTCATAAAAAAAGCAGAATTAAAATCCTTGGCAATACATATACTATAATTTCTAGCATAAATGTTGTATTTAAAAGATGTTATATTTTAACTTTTTAAATAGTTTGCGAAAATTTTTAATAACCCCATAATTATAATAAATCTTTGTTTAATGAAACCATTTAATCAGCATTAAATAGCTACAAAAATTGAATTTGCTAAATTTTTTTATATAATTTTTTCAGTATCTTCTGATTAAAATAATAGTTCTCCATTCTAGTTTTATATCTTTCTTATAGTTTCTTCTATGTTACTCCAAATAATTTTAAATTCATTAAGTGAAAAGTTTTATACTTTAAATTACTTAAGAAATTCATAAAATCTCTTTTTATGGTTCTTTTTACACTCACTTTAGAATATTATATTAAATATTCATTACTTTAATTAGTGCTAATAGGCAATAATTCAACTTCTTTTAGTGTTTATATGCCTTTCCCATAAAACCAAGTTTGGCAGCCTCTATAATTTTCTGATTCTAATTCTTAAATCAATTAAATTATGTTTTGGATCTTTTATTGAAGGTCATGATACATAAATTGGAATCCTCTTAGGTTCTATTTAATCACAACTCATATAAGTTCCTCAATATTTTTTGCAGCTCTACTTTTCCCTGAACCTGCTCTTCCTTTTAGAAGCATAACATCTTTTATTCTTTCTTTTTAATCCCATAAAAATTCATTTATTTCTCCTTCAAAATTATTATAAATTCTTTTTAAAAGATAGGAAATTACTTCTTTTTATCCTATTAATTTTATTTCCTGAAATTGGATCCTATTCTTAAGTTAATATTTCTATGTGGATTTGGTCTAAATCATTTTCATCCTTTTACTTTAATATTTAATCTTTTCTTATTAAAAGTAATTCAAAATAATTTTTTCCTCTAAGTTTTCTAACATCATTTGCAATATTATTAACATTTTACAAGACTTGATCAATTTAACTTTTTATATGTTTTAGAACTTTGCTTAATTCTTTTAAGAATACCATACTTATGTCCAATTTTTAAGTCATATCTGTGATATTATCAAAATAAGTTTCAAAATCATCCAGTGCTTATTATAATAACTCTTTTGATTGGATGGAATTAACAGTTAATACAGAATTTTCAAGTGATTCAATTCTATTTAGTAGATTTTTAATTTCAGCTTTTATTGAATTTTACATTGTGGTGAAAATTCGAAAGTAACTATTTTTACATTTCTATCATTTTTTTATTTTTGAGTATATTTCTAACATCTATATGTTTCTCATATATCCATCATTGTTATAATAAATTTTAACAAAAATCTTTCATCTTTGGCTCTTAAATTAAAGTTTCAATTTTTATTAAGTTATAAGCTAATACTTCTATCACTTAATGAGAAGAATTACTAAAAATTTAAGATAAAATATTAGTTTTTTATGAATCCATAACTTTAGAATTAATTAAACTTTAGATTTATTCTTAGTATATATAACAATGTTTCTCTTTTTTATTTGGTTTTTAGCTATGATTTTTTGAACATAATTTGACTATCGAAAAGAATAAGTTTGATTTACATTTTATCAAAACATTTTTTATTCGTAAAAAATTAAATCCTAATTAAAAACAAACTATGATTCTTTTTATATTGAACAACAAAAATCTTTAGTATATCAATTATTATGTTTTTGAAACTTTATTTAAATTCATCTCTCTTATCAGAATTCCGTATTTCTGGACTCCAAGAAAACAATTCATAATTTTATTTTATTATAATTTTTTGTCTTTTAACAACAGCATTTAACTAACTTATCAAATTTTCAAAATTTTACTCAATTTTTTTTTTGGACTTTTTCTAATTTCCTATTTAGAATTTTCAATGAACTTGCAAAATTTTAGTTTATTGCTTCTTTTAAAGTTTTTTTTTATATTTTATTTAATCCTAATTAAGTCAACCTCTTATAATATATATACTTTCTATTTAAATTTCTTGAATTCCATTTCTTATTTTTTAATGAGAATATATCTTCTCTTATTTTATTTTCGATATAATTCAACTCTGTTAATTTTTATTTATTCATAATCAGAGTTGGGTATTAATCGAAATATTTTTGTATCATAGTCTTTCCTTGAGAAACCAAATTGTAATTTAGTTAAGTAGTTGTACTATCACTATCAATATTATTATTAAGATGAATTTAATCATCAAAATAAAAATCTTATATTTTATGTTCCAATTGTAATACATTAATTTTTGACTATTAAATTCTTAATAATTTTTTGTAAAATTTAAACATTAAAATTATCTCCTAAAGTTTTAAACTCAATCCAATCCATAGAATAAACTTATTAGAATTGATTGGATAAATCTTTTATAAGTTAGAGCTATATTATTCAATTAATTATACTAATATTTCTTCTAAAGAGATTTTGTCTTAAGGAATTGTAAGTGGTTTTTCAAAGTTAATTTTGATAATAAGTTCTTTTATTAATTTTATTTAAGAGACAAAATCAGATAACAAATCATTAAAGAATTTTAAACAAGTTTCTAATTCTTTATCATACTTTAACAAAATCTATGTATATAGAGTCTCAGATAAATCTTTTTAATCAATTTCTTCATCAATTATTTAAGTTTTATTTTTATAGTTTTAAGAATAAAATATTTTCTAATGAATTAATGATTCAGCAAGAAAAATTTAAAATTTAGTAAGATCGAACCCATAAGTTTGGAATTTATTGAAATTGCTTGATGAATTTATCTTCAAATTTTATTCGAATTTCATTAAAAGTAGATATTTATAAGTATTTCTGTTTTTACTAAATTTATAAAAGATTATTTCATTTTGTATCAAAATTTATTCTAAGTTATTCATGATTTCAATTTCTTTTATTCTGATAATATCTATTTCATTTAAAATTTATAAAAGTTAAAGAAATTATTCTTTTTATTAATTAACTAAATCCTAGATATCTTATCTACAAATTTTAAACCCAAGCTTATTTTCCATTTAGTTTTTAAATAGTCTGGCCTGGCTATTAATTTAATTAAAATTTTCCTTTATTTAAATTTAACAGCTTTATAAGAGATTTTTAATGAAGCAAATCATCTGTGTTTATGAACAAGCTTATATTTAAGTCTTTTAAATTAATTTAGCTTAAAGGTTATGATACAAAATCAAAATTTAAATATAAGGCAATAATTTTAAAGAACTAATTTATTCACTTAATAAGTACTCTTAAAATAATTTTAAATTTGAAAACTCCTTTAAAATAAATAGTCCTCTTCCAGAATATTTAATTTTCCCTTATAACTTAACATAAGGAACAGCAACAATTAAATTTTATACAAACAGTAAATTCCAGCTAGTCTTTAAATCCATTTTTTATGCCACTTAAGCTTTTGAAAATAACAGGTCTATAAGACATTAATCCAGAAATTACATTTATCCAACAAAAATGAATTAAACAACTTTACGAAGCTTCAATATATTGTTTGTATCCTTCAGTTAATTATTTGATTGTCTATTAAACTGAATATTCATCTTTTAATTGGAAGATTATGAACCATTTCAAAATTTCAAAAAAAAAATAAAGCTCATATATCTTCAAAGGATTTTTGACTTATAGTTGTAAAAGTGTTTTTAAGATTTTCTAAGACTTTTAAAAATATTAACAAATAAGAAATTTTTAGATTCTTTTACTATATTTGTTATAAAAATTAAGCAAAAGAAATTGTCCAGCTTTCATAAGAGAATCAATAAGTTCTTCACTGGGCTTTAATTAAGATATTGAAGAAACTATACCAAATAATACTGCTTTCATTAAAGTTGTACCAGTTTCTGAGTTAGTTCCTAAATGTTCTCTACCTATTTTAATCATTTAGAGTTCGAAATCAGTGCCAGAAAGCCATATTTATGTTGATTCTACAGCTATCTACTCTTCAATTTCTGAAATATATTCTTTAAGTTTTTATTAAAGTTCTTCTTACATATATCTAGATTCATTTATTTGTTGATAATAATATATTACTCTAAGGAAATCATTACATATTTAAAGTAAAGAATCAAATATATATCCAGATACTTTTAAGTATGTAACTAACTATTTTATTTTATGCCTGAAAACAACGCTCAACAAGATCATAATTATATAAATTTAAAGCCTAGTTAATGCAAAGCTTTTAAATATGCTCTATATTATTTTGAAACCATAAAATTGCACAAAGCACATCATTTTGATGGTATTTATCCTAAAACTGTGCAGCCTTTTCTACAATTACATTTATAGAATGGAGGCAAAATTTTATGGAAATTATATTTATCTCATTTTTGTTTCAGGCATAACTAGATTACTTGTACAACATCCCCCTCCTCTTAATGATTCTGATCCATCAGATATTAATGTTTTTTCTCTTTCACATATCAAATAATAAGATTTATTTATCCTAAATAGGAGAAACAATCTACATTAATCTATCCATTTCAAAATAGATGTTCTCAATATGCTTGTTTAAAGTTTTCTATATTATTTATTCAAAATTTTTATTAATTATAATATTATGATAATTTACTTATAATGTTAACTTTTAATTTATTTAAGAATTTATTAGGTATCTTTCATCTTCTTTTCTCTATAATAAGATAATATAAAAATTTATAAATTACATTAAAATATTTAACAAAAATGAGAAGGCATTTGAATAGAAACGATTAACAATTATAATTTATAGATAGTATTATATCCTCTAAAATAACCATATCAATCATTTGGCATTTATAAAAAAAATTGAAAATTAATAAATGATAGAACTTAAAAGAAAATTATAATTAAAAAAAAATTGGTTATGAATATTGATGTCTCGAATAAAAAAAGAGAGAATAAACTTTTTGATTTTAATATAAAATACTTATTCGAATGAAAATTTGCTCTGAAGTATAATAGAATGTATGTTATAAGTTAAAGCTAAGAAATAATATTTTTTCACAAGTTTCAATAACTAAAATTAATGAATATTTGTTTATTTATATTCATAAAAAAACTCAAAACTAAAAATTAATATTATAACTATTAATAAGCTTTCTTATATTAAGATCTTAAAGTTCATAAGAAACAGTTAAATATCAATGAGACAATTTCTTTTATTTGAAAATTTCCCTTACAAGTATTCAGAATTTACATAATTACTAATATTTATTAATATAAGTTTGTATTGACATTAAATATTAACAATATGGTAGTAAACTGACAATATCTTTTCTCAATGAATCTCAAGGGAAGAAATTTCCAAATAGAGATCATTCTGTGTTGTTTTAAATTTAGAAATTCTATTCAGTCAATATATGAATTGAATGTTATTGAAATAATTTGACCAAATATAAATTTTATCTAAAAAAAATAGTTTATTGAACAATTATAAATTTTTAGAAATGACTAAATTCAAAATAGCGAAGAGATTTGTAAGACAGCAATAAATAAATTTGAATTGTATATACGAATAATTGATATCGCTTTTTAAATTATAATATCGCTGACTTTAATAATAATTATTTTAACATCAAAATTTGTTTAAATCCTCGTTCTAATGATTTGTAGATAGAAATTAGAAATATATTAATTTAAATCAGTACTTGCCATCCTACCTGCTTGACTTGCGATGGTCATTTGGAAACGAATTGTCTAATATGTAAGAATAATTAAAGTGTTATAAATCGAAAATGTATGTGCATTCTGATTAATAATTTTAAGAAACACCTTTAGGTTGTAAGTAAGAATGTGGAAGAGATTACTCAATAGCTAACACCATTTAATAGCAACAAAATTCCATAATCCAACAACAATAGATATTATCCATTTAGTTTTCTATACGACCAATTTCATTCAAAAAACTCAGATTTAATTTAATAGAATTGTAATGGAATTAGTTTTATAGGAAACCTATAATTTAATGAAGGAATGCTTTAAGAATGCGCATTACTATTTATTGTTTAATTTTTAAGATACAAGTAAAATTGAAATTTTACATAATAATACGAATTCTTTCAAAGATAATAAAGGATCCATCAAGATTTTAATATGAAATTTGCTAAAGATATTTAAAATTAATGATAATTGTTTAAGTAGAAGTGATACTTTATTAAGAATAGAAGTAATTTTTTAATTACAAAATAAAAATTGTAAGTAGACTCCGGATTTTACTAAAAAAATTGTGAGGTTTGCTCTGATAATTCTATATGCACTTAATGTGGACCCTATATTAGCTATATAAAAATAGATGTGAAAGTTCATGTCCTATATACTCATCTAGGTGTGTTAATTATGAAGACATCATTCCATGTAGAATTATAGCTATATTTTAGATTCAAGCTATGTTGCAAAAGGGTTTTACGATTTGAATGTGAAAATTGAGAATATAAATTTCTTTTACGATACATATCCATCCAGCAATTATGTAACAGGTTAAAATTTTCCAGTATTAAGAGAGTTTATTAGTTTGGAATGCTGGATCATATTAAGTCATGGGCAATCTAACAACCTCATTATAAAGTATCACTCTATTTTAATTTTAGAAATGGGCAAAGTTATAGTGGAGCATTTTCTTATAAAATAGGTTTTGTAAGTAGCTCATTTTAAGGATCATTTGTTAATCTGGAGGAAGATCAAATTAAATTAGTCATAATTATATAGAAAATACTCGTTTTTATTTTTTTACACTTGAAAAATTTTCATGATAATAAATTAAAGTAAGAATTCAAACGTCAAGCCACTATATTAATTTGCTAGATGGATTTCTTGCAATATCAGAGTATTTTGTTGGTTTTCATTATGTTAATTTAATCAATATTTTCTAGTGTCCTCCTTTTTGTCAAAGTTGCTCTAGTTTAAGTGCATTTAATATTTGGTAGTAGGTTATAAAAGTTCAAATTGTAGAACTAATTAATTTCTATTATTTGATGAATAAACATAAACTTATAGTTGCAAATTTTGTGATCAATCTGGATGCAATAAATGTGTGAGTGTAGAAGATTGTATTGAGTGTACATATACATTTTGATAAGGAAATATTTGTGGTTAATGAAATAGATATTGTGAAAATTGCTTTAAGACTTCTAAATTTGGTAGTCTTTCTTGTGTTCAATAATTTCATAGAGGCATCTAAAGATATATTATGATGATGATATAAATTTACCATGTCTGCCAAAAGGTGAAGATAAAATAATTGTTGATGAAAAAGAATGTGATAATGGTCATAATGATTCATTTGATTGATGTCATTAATGGTAATTAACATATTAGGATGAGTGTTAACTTTGTCTTTAAGATAAATGTTATTAATGTAAACAACATTATTTATTAATCGAAGCTATTAATATTTGCAAATCAATTTGTGGTGATTTGGTAATAACTTAAAATGAATAATGTGATGATGGTAATGATTACATCTTTGATGGATGTCATCTTTGTTAATTTTAATGTAAGGATCATTATAGTTATTGTAATTAAGGGATTTGTTGTAAATGTGATAAATAAATGGTTGGTACTTAAAAGGATCTAAATGTGAATTTATATGCGGAGATGGAAAAGTTGCTAAAGGATAAAAATAATGTGATGATTCAAAATTCATATCCTTTTGAATTATGTATTTCTGCAAGTAAGAATGTTCAGAATATTTATATTTTGCTTAAATGGTTTTAAATCAATTCGGAAGAAAATGGTCAAAAAATTCATTAATCAATTACAGAGATTCAATAATAAATTTCTTTAAGATGTGGACAATGGCTCATTAATATGCGTAAATTTATGTGGAAATGGGCTAACAGTTTAAATTTTGAAGAATGCAATGTTGGAAGGAGGTGATGGATGTTATTCTTTTTGTAATACGGAGGATTCATATCAATGTATAAATTAGAAAGATTCATTAAGTTTATGTACATATATAGAAGCCCCTGTATTTTATCTGATTCAATATCATTATTCTAATTAACTTTCACTTAACAAGTTAAGTTATACACAAAATTAATTATTGAAGATATTTTTTATTCAAAATTTCTCTTTAAACTCAGCATCTATTAAAATCAATAGCATTGATAATATAAAAAATCCTCTTGGGATATCGTATCTATTAAATTGAAATCGAGTTATTCAACCAATCTAAAATCCTATTTGAGAAGTTGATGTAGATAAGTCCATCATATATAATGCATACCAATAAGACTTATAGATACATTAAAAGAAGATTATTCTAGAAAATCCTTTCGTATTAACTGAAACTACAAAATAAAAATTAACTTTTGTTGTATAGATTAATGATGTTATGATATATTCTATGGTAGGGAGATCAAGTTTGACTTTGCTATCTGATAATTCAATCATGTTCTTTAATTTATTAGATTTATTATAGTCCTTATCATATATCATGTTTATGTAATATCAATTTCTACTTCATTTAATAAAATTAAAAAAAAATTATACTAAAGTTTCATTATTTGGTAAATGCTAAAAGTTGTTATTTTTCGGTCTTCATTATTAATTTATTTACTTAATTCTCTCTTAATGTTTTTAAATTTTAATTTCAGATTATCTAATCTAATAACAAAAATATTAAACTCTTAAGGCTTATATATTTTTTTAAGAAAAAATGTTTAAATTTAAAAATTGAATATTTCTCTTTAAGAATCTTTAAAGTTTATTAAGCAATCTTACATTAGCTTCTATTCAGTATATTATTGGAATTTCGAAATTATTAATTTAATAATTCATTTGAAATCTTAAACAGCATATATGCTATGTTTGGGGTTCCTTTTCATTATATTGCTGCTTTTACACTATTTTCAATAACATCTGCTCAAATAAGAGATATAGAGGGCTGAAAATATTTTTTTAATGAATCTAAAACTTAATTTTGGTCGGCTTAATGTATGTAAATGTTTAGAATATTGTTTTATATTGTAATTATAGTGGAATTTATAAACTATTCAGAAGTATAATCAATTTGCTCTCTATGTAATCATTTGTGAATTTGATTTATTTGGTTAAATTCAAACCCTCATAATCTCCATTGAAACTCTATAGATTAATTTTTAAAATATCGTTAATTATGCTCATAACTGGAATATTTTTAATTTATAAGTTTTGAATTTATATTAGAGAATTTTATGTTAATTGGGCAGATTCATAATGGTATGTTTTGTACCATTTTGGCTTCTAATTTATTTATCGACCTATTTGGGTAAACTATTCGCAAAAAGAAATAAAAATAATTACTTGAAAAAGAAAGAGCTTACTATTTTAACAATTTATAAAGTTTTATCCTACATGTTAAGGATTAATAAAAATATAAAAAAATGATTTATTTAAATTATATTATTATTTAATTATTCTAACTCTTTATACTTATTTATTATAACAATGAAAAATTTTTTATTCATTTCATATCAATTATTTTAATATCAATATTAATTATTTAAATAATATTTTTAGTTTTACACCATCATAAAAATTAAAAGTCTTGCTCTTTAAAGTATGTCAATATTTACGATGATATTGTAATTGGACGAATGTTGATATAAAATTAATAAATAATTTATTACCTTCTGAAATTATAGTAGAGCTCGGATTGTATTAGAATTAAATGATGTTGCATTAATATTTTAATTAGTATCTATACATATTAAAAAATGACTGTCTGTTATAAGATTTTTTTGAAGACTTCAGGTTCTTCTTTTCAGTATGTTACATTAATCGCTTTTTCTTTTTAAGTAGTTATTTCAGAATCCTTCCTATTTTTGGCAAATTTCATTATAAAAGTTAAAGAAGTAGATTCAAAATTATCTAATTTTTCTGAATCAGGTAATTTGATATTGGTTATATGAGATAGAGTAATAAAAGAATTAACATTTTAAATAAAAAGTGTATAAAAATAAAATGGTTGTGCAGATAGAACAGGAGCTGAGAATTTTCAATCTTACAAGCAATTATTTAGAAAGAATGAGATTGAAGACTAGAAAAGATCCCAAATAGAACATGAGTGAAATTAATAAGAAATTATTAGGATTATAATAATTAAGAGTAGTATTTGTATTATTTACTTAAACTCCATCCTTATTTAATGGAAGTCATAGTTCAAATTTAGAACAGTTTGATTAATATGACGACTAAGCTTTTAGTAAACATTATATGTTTCAGGATTATATGAATATACTAAATCGTTCGCTAATGGTTTATCAACAGATATCGGGGATGTTAATTCCTTATTCACTGTTGATTTATTTGTTTAGGTAGAATTTTATTGTATAAAAATAAGAACATTGTTTTAGATGAATCAACTGCCAATCTTAATATGAAAACAGATGATTTTATTTAAAATATGCTTAAACAATAGCTTAAGGATTGTACAAATATAACATAAATTAAATACTATTGTTGATTATGATAAAATTTTGTTTATTGAAAATGGAAATGTTTTAGAATTTGATGAACCATCTAATCTCTTAGCATAATTTCTAAATTCTATTAATATTGATAAACAACTTACTTTTCCAAATTTGTATTGAATACTTGAATATCTAATTTTGATATTTCCTAAAATAAATAGACTAGAACAATATCCTTGATCTTTTTTATTTTTATATTTAATATTTTATAAAATAATTATTATTAAGATGATCTTAAAACTTCAATAAATGCACAAAAGAGAATGTTATATTTATGTTTGTTGAACAGCCTTAAATATAATGTTATCCAAATATGAATTATAAAACTTTTTCAAAAACTATTCATAATTTAGCTTTGCACAATGCCTATTATCTTAGAGTTAACTATTAAAAGCAACTAATTTCTCATTTAACTCTTATATTTATTACGGAAAAATTAAATTGTATTTAATTCTTTATCTATCTAACCAAATAATTAATTTTTTGATTTATAGGATGAACGTAATTTAAAAAAATAAAGAAAAAAAATTTTTGAGGATTCTTTTATACATAAAATGCAAAAGCATTAACTCTCTTAGTAGGCATATAAAAATAATATAAAATATATAATATTTAAATATTAGAGCATTTCAAAAAAGCCTCGCACTTAATAAATTGAATGAAATTGAAATGTCATTATCGTTGGTTCATAAATTTCAAGCAAGTAACAGAGTTTAGAAGAAGTAGAACCAGAAATCAAGCAGCGATATTGATTAATATATAGCTATCTAATAATACCCTAACCAATTTGGTTTGATTATGTATTCAGTATAAAAATTTAACTTAGTGTTACTGGAAAACTAATTTTTTGAATTTATATTCTAAGATGATATCAAGCTCAGCAAGCAGAAGTTAACCTTTTATAATTTTCATAAGTATTTTTAGTATTTTAGTTAGAAAGATAACAATTAAATTTTGATTCTTTTAAATCTGCATGTATGCTGTAGTAATAGTATATTAATCTTTAGGAAATATTTCCTCTTAACATATGATTATTGATACAAATCGGCATTGTTTATGAATACATACAGAATATAAATATCCTAAATCAATTAGTTTTTATCTCAATATTCTAATATTAATGAGTAAATTTTCAGCACTTTCTTGAGTTTTAGAAATATGAAAATTTCTATTTAAATAATCATTTTTACATGCTTGCTTTTTAGTTTTGCTTTCACAATTAAATATGAGCAATAATAAATTGATATAAAAAGTATCCTATAAATTTGGACCAAAAATCATCAGAGCTTACAAAATAGAAAATGTATGATGTTGAAAAAAATTTGGTTAGACATGTGGAAATCAATCAACGCCATTTTAGTTTGGATTGTCAGGAAAACTAATCATAGATTAATCTTATCAATAAAAACACAAATCTCGCAAAAATCTCATATACAGATTTAGAAAAAATGATCTCAATTATAGGAATGGTGAAAAGAATTAATATGATGGAGTTGGATAAGAGAAAGAAGTTTAGAGGAAGATGAAGAATACTAAAAAAAAAGAAACAAAATCTATATGAAATTTTAGCTCAAAATATCGATATCGATGAATAAATATTATATGGGATGATTGGAGTGTATAGAAAAGGGTAAATATCAGATATTCTAGGATTTATTTCAAAGCCATTCAATTTCAAGCTATATGAATCATTTATCAATTAGAAAGTGACAATTAGTGATATTCATAAGAAAAACAAGAATATCATGAATATTTTGAGAAATATTTTAGATCATCCGTTTTATAAGAAAAACGATTTTAGTACAAAAGCTTATGAAAACGAAAGACTCAAACACATTAAGAAGATATTAGGATTAAATAGATGGATGATTTTCTTATGTTCTTAGTACAACTCACTTCCTTTGATAAACAACTTATATAGAGTGAATCGAATGCATTAAAAATAATAAATTAGACGAAAGTTGATCAGAAACATAAAAATTTTGAGATATCAGAATAAAGAAAACAAGGTTGATTGGTGCTAATTTAGATTGGTGAAGCTGTAAGAGATCGGAATTTAGAATGTAAATATTAATGGCATGAATATTTATGTAATGCTACTAATAAATTGAAAGTGAATGCTATCAAAATTCAAGAATTAAAGTATTTGCAGGAACATGGCTAACCAATCTACTTTAGCATCTGGTAG